AAGAATCTAAAGAGTCTAAAATCCAGAAAAAGTTATACCGTAACATGTTATTCGGTGACCTTTAAAGCGTTACTTAAGTTAACAATTTTAACTTAATAATTTTATTTGGAACTTCCTAGGAATGAAATGATAAATATAACGTAAATATATTTAACTTTTCAGTGCTCAATTCTCAATGTATATTTTTAGAGAGTCAAATTCTGGACAGCGCTCCATTTTTTGTATATTGTATGTAAGGTATAATGGTACGGATAAATAAAACTTATATTTTTTATCGATAATATAATTTATCATAAAAATTATACTTGATTAAAACAAGTTCAACAGTAAATTACTTTTAATATCTTAAATACAATTTATTGTCAATTATTACGTAATAATAAATCAATTTGTGAAGAATATTGTACTCCCACGTCGAATCCCCGAAATCTAGGCACTTATTAAATGTAATTGCATAATAAAACAGCAGTAATCTATTTATCAGATATTCTGTTACGTTATTTTATTTTCATTCCAGCAATTGGGCATGATTTTCGTCAAATTCCTTAAAGCATTTGTCCAACGTTAAGATGGATTTAAAGAATCTTCCTGCTCAAGTTGTCATTTTGAAAATTGGAAAATCATTGAATGACTTCTCACGTCCTGGATGGAGCGAGTGGGAGAGTCAGACTCTTAGTGATTAAAAACCAACGCCGAACTACCTTATTTCACATTTCACGCTCGAACATTCATAGGATTGACATCTCCATGGCAAATAAAAAATAAAATAAATGATACATACCCAAGGTACGGCTGTTGCCGATGTCTACGATATTCTAAAGTTCTAGAATACTAGGAAATTCTTTATTTATATAATTGTAAAGTGTTTCTATGATCTCCAGAAAAATATGCTCCATGACATAAGGATGGCATTTTCGATTCATACTTTTGTTTAAACCTGTAATATCCTTGAGACCTAGATCAACATGTGTTATACATACCAATCAGTTATCTGGAAAGTTTATTTGCTTAACTTAACAGCTGAAGTAGGTTTAACCCGTTTTTTATCTTTTATGCCTCGAGTCACATGTCATACGGGTTCGACCCTATTAGTCTCCCGACTAAATTCCCTGGTTACCTTTAAGAATTCCATAATTCTAAATGCCAAGTAATAGATTTCCCATCTGAGGATTCGACCTATAAATTCATTCCTTTTACAACCACATTGTAGTGATTGTAGTGATGTAACTAGGCCAAGAATGTAGCCTAACGTAAAAATGTTCGATGCGATATTTGAATTAAAATGTATGTAAGTATTTGTTGGGAATGTTCATCAAAATACATCCCAAAATTTGACCTAAGTGATAACAAATCGAAATTAAAATTAAATTAAAATACACATAAATACTTAGAATTGAATTAAAGAAAACCTACATGAAATATGGTAAAATTGAAACGAAGATGATTAACAATCTCTACCTATTGTTTTTTCTTTTCCCGCTAAAAAAACATAAATACTTATTCGTTTCTTTGCTTATGGCAAAAGAGCAAATTCGTCGATAATTGTAACAGAAAAAGTAGTTTTTAAATTTAGATACTTTCAGGTGCCCTTACCCTTTTTGTAGTCGATATGTTAACACGTCTTAACATTCTCGCTGACTTTACAGATCAGTAATAACTTCAGTTATCTGCCATCATCAGATACAATCAGGTCAACAGCCGGCTGTCATCTTGGCCCTGACTGAATGTCGGTCACTACTTTTCCCTTGGGCGTCACTCATTAAGATGAATATTAACTTAGGTTAGCGATTCCAATTGATTTGGGACACTGTCTCTTTATTTATAAATAAGTAAGCACATTTAAATACGAGAATTATAAAAAATCTTTGAACACATTAAAATGTTAAGTAACGAATGTAAGGAATATTGTATAATTTAATTAGTGATGCACCATTTGATAATTATAACTAGAAGAAGCTGTTTGACACACAACCGTTCTTATTGTACGACTATAAAACTCTTCGTTTATTTCAATCGTAATAAAGTGCGCTTACTGCTATTAAATTTAGACTTCTCCCAATACCGACACCATGTCGACAATTTAATCGTCAAAAGTCAAGTCAAAAGACAAATTTATTTATTCCAACTAAACCATAAATACATAGGTCCCTATTTTTGAAAGGTCAAATTCTATTTAGTATGTCAGTCTGTTCGTCAGTGAAGCTAGGTGCTAATAAAACAGAGTTACTTACTTAGTTTGAAATAGTCAATTAGTCTTGAGTATGCGTGGTGATAAATGCTCAAGCCTTCTCCGTGCCGGAAAAGGCCTTTGCTCAGCAGTGGACACTTACCAATAGGCTGATTATATGATGTGATGTGTAGTGAGTATACATACATATAATTGTAGATATAATAAACTAAAGATCAGTCAACTCTTGTTTAGTATTAAGTAACGGAGAGACGAAACTGAATCAAACTAATAATTGCTTAATTTCCCTAATGGTACCATATCAGTTCGAAATGTTATTTAAGCTATGATCTAGAAAGTCGTGCATGTTACATCATACTTTGTAAAATATTATATTTTGATATGAATTCTCGAAGCTTCTTCTTGTTTTTGATATGTTTAAACTTAAGATTTGTGCACTCTAGGGGTCAAGATATAATTGCCGAAGACTTTCAGGTCTATACTCAGAATACAGTGTTCTGTATTCTGAGGGTCTATAGACGATTGTAACTTCAGAACATAATAATAAGTTCTGTAATCATTTGGTTATATTCCTTTCAAGTACAACGAGTCTCACAACCAGAAAACTACCCTTTTTTCTTGGGGGAAAAACTATCAAATGTGTTCGATCGTCCTGTGTAGAGTGAGTGTCACGCACTTCACCTCCTCCATCTCGAGAACGAGTGACACAGAAAGAAAAGACGACTTCCCAAAAAGACTATCCGACAAAAATTTACACCTACCGTCATTGATATTATAAGTAAAAATGTGTAGATAGGTAACAATCGCTCAGCAAGTGATACAATAAAATGTGCCTAACCAGCCACACTTTTTAATATTTGTCTCCTTTTCACTCGCGATTATTGAATCATGCCATCCCACTTTAACGTGTATCATACGATTTATTCATGTGTGCATCAGTGTGCCTTTTTGAAAATCGAATGTTGTTTATGTAACCTTTCTATACCATTTTACTTATAATATCATTGCCTACCGTCATTGAAAAGAAAATGATGAAATGTTTAAGAAGCACAATTCCTCCAACAAATTCATTTATGTGCAAAATTCTACTAAATTATTGAGAAAATATACCTAGCATACCTATATTTTAGCAATTAATATATTATTGTTAATAACTTCCACACGTGTGAGCGTCCATGTTGATGTTTACTCCGAGTATCGACGTGTTCACGTGCTTGGGGAATAGAGATCGATACCCGATGCACTTAGGGTAGTTAGAACGTGTTAATGAAGGCGTGTTTCTTCAGGTCCAAAGACACGTTTCAGGAACTTGGACCTTGAATATTAGCTGCGACTTTTGATGCAAATTTCTAGGGTATCTGTTTAGTACGGAGTTTTCTCGGTAATGCTAGTCACGATGTTTCTGCGTGTAGGTTTGTAGCTTCCCCCCGCAGCTTCACCCGTGTGGAATGTTGATAAAAAGCAGCATATGTGTTAATCCAATTAATTCATTTATAAAACCAAATATCAACCAAATCGGCAAAGCCGTTTTTGCGTAAAAAAATAACAAGCTATATATATATCCTCATACATTTTCACATTTTTTTACATTTATAATATTAGTAGGCTTTATCTTGTTTGTTTTTTACTAGACAAAAATACGACTGCTTTACAACAATGTACATACAGACAAGATTTAGAGAAGGTTATTATCATAAAAAATATCGTGGTAAAAATCTAGTTCAAACATTTTGAAGTCGATTAAACTTTTTTTTTATTCAATGCCAGATTTTTTATGTTCAAGAATTACCTTCTTTATTTAATTCCTTAAACTAATCAACTCACATAAAAATTAAGGAAAAACTAATTTTCAACACACACAAATACAAATCAAACCAAACTACACGTACTTAATCAAATAAAAGCTTGATTTGATAATAAATGGCACGTATACTGTGAATGTGGGCGCAATCACGTGACGTGCGTCAAGTTCTCACGTTTTCAACACTATACGTCTCGGGCGTCAGCGACGTTCATTATGGCTCGACTTTATTGCCGTATCGAGCGATAAAATCACTAATCACCAACATTAATCGACTTAAACATCGACTGGAAGTTAACACAATCATCCAACTTAACTTTAACACTGTTTTAGTCACAAGCGACTTTTCGTCCTATGCTAAATTCGCGTGTGTTCCAACTTTGTCTCGACACTATAATTAAACCCCAAAATGAGCAGCCTTGATAGTTTCTTGGGTGACGCGTATATAGGCTATGCGTATTGAACACATTAGGAGCTATTATGTGCACGTTTATTTAATAATGGCATAATAGCGACAACATTTGCAAAGATATCATACAAATACATGGGCATTTGTAAGATTTGTAACGATTAAAACGTGTTTAAATGCCCTTAAAGCAAAAACATAATGACTTTAGCAATTACGTCCGTTAAGACCTTAAATGTTGAGGTATTTTGGACTGAACAATCACGTCACAATTAGCAAGTCAGTGAATACTTACGCCATTATTACATTACAAATAGTAATTGTATTACGTCTTTTGTGCTATTATTCAATCATAAAGCCTTTAACCTTTCAGAATACATAATAATATGTGAACCTAAACAATGAGGAACACTGAGACCTGACCTAGTCAACAATGACCAATGTGAAAATACAATGAACTGGCGGTCATCCATAAATACATGAAGTCGTAATAATGAGTTTAAATAAAGAGAGCACTTGTATCGAACTTAATTTATTTCGATGATTGTTGTGCGGTATATTTCATTTACATTAATGTCGAAGTCGGGTTTCGTGTATGTGGATTATCAACGCACGTAGTATGTGTATGGTGCTGCGTAGGTGTAGGCGGAATAGGGGAGAGCGTAGTCGTAGGCACTGTAGGCGGAGTACGCAACAGGAGCGGTGTAGGCAGCTGCTACAGGCGCTGTGTACGCCGCCACGGGGTACTCCAACACCAGAGGCTTAGGCTTAGCTGAGGCGAAAGCCAAGAGAGCAGCAAACAATACCTGGAAACCAGAACACAATATACAACTGATCATGAAAAATAATAAAAGTTCAAAGATGAAATAAAATGTCACTCGACACGGTAACCTACATCAAGCCATAATTGTGTTGGAATTCTCCAATATTCTTTTTATCCTTTTTACAAAAAAATTTCCGAATAAAATTAGGTTATAGTTAAAAGATTGGTTACATTAATAAACAGGAAATGTTGACAAAGGTGTTTTTCGAAACTGAATCAAGAAATTCTTAACTATTTTGGGCAAATAATAGTGATAACTATTGATTTACATAAAGTAAGATAAAACCCGTACAATTAACGTTGAAATACACTAACATAAAAAAATGCACTTGAATGGTACTTACGTATTTGAACATCTTGATATTGATTGGGGATGTTTGGTATTTGTTTAGAACTGCAGGACACAAGATCCGTGGCACAATGATAACTATCAGTCAATCGGGACTTCTTTTATATCAGTGGTCAAGCGTACGCCAATGTGAAGTATGGTAGTGTAACCGGATAAACTTAGAATATCCTCCTTTAGCCCATTAAGCAGTATGAGCACGTCCAGCCTTGTGCAGTGTCACCGACGCCCGACCGCACTGATTACACCAAGGACTTACGCGGACTATTTCTAAATACCATAGACAGCAAAACGTTTTGAAATTCTTAAAAACACGGACCTATTTTAGCAATTACGCAAGATTATCATCATAAAGTTGCTGTTTATTGTTCTAGTTTAGATAAAGTTGTTTTAAGTGGCAGTGTATTATTTTAGTTCAGTATCTCGGAAACTAAACTTTCTCAGTGTTTTAGTGGTGTATACTCGTAATTTGTTAGAAGCCCATTTTCGAGAGGTCAGTAACCTTTTTGATACGAGATCCAACAAATTTTAATAGTCTTCAAATGTTTAGAAAGCCATTTAAAGTTATTAGCAAAATAAAAGGGATGAAATTGTAAATGTTTGGGATGTTTTCGAGTAGAACTGAAACAAAATTGCTTTAGGATCATTTATTTATTTGACATTGTCTTGTCATCACGTCTCTCAGTTTGTGAATTAAGTGAACATAGCGTTTAGTTACATGATTATTGTTTTAGGGACTCTGACCCGCGGTATTTGGTTGACTACGATAAAGGGACGTCGTCGGTGGTGATGATGTATGACCCTTCTACTGTCTCCTAAACTCACAGCCACCACACACGTCAACAAGAAGAAGAGCCACTGAAAACAAAGGTTTATGTAACAAAATAACAAGTTCTAATCAGAATTCTCAGTTCTAAAAAACTCTACACACATAATATGCATATAAATGCTTAAAAACTTAAAGATATCAAAACTACTTAAAGTATATTCCTCTCTACTAACACCTAAACGAATGCATAAACAATATTGAAAACATTAATCTCAAAAATCTATTGCAATTAAAACAGGACATATCGAAATTTTAAAAATATTTGATTGAGAATTTGGATTATTTAAAGTTTAGTGAGCCGATCGACGTTCAATAAAATAAAAAAATAATCAATCTGAACTAAGCCGGACTCACACGTTAACTCGGCCAAATAAAAAAGTTGTAAGTTTGTAATTCTGTGCATGTTCTTTGTAGGTATGGTATATATTATAATTTTTGTCACCTGACGGTAAGCAATCGACGCTGCTTGTGAACATCCACAACATCAAAAGAGTTACAAGTATATTACCGGCTTTGGCGAGCTGTTAGTGATTTGAGGATTTGAGGGGTATTGGGGATGTGAGAGGGGGAGTTGTGGTGTTTCTGTGAGGCTGAGGTACCACTCTGCCGTTTACTACTCCGGTCGAGCTGGTCCATTCGTGCCGAAGTATGGCTTGGCATTATTTAAAAAGAAATTTGTAGTTTTTTCTCAAAATAAATAGTACGAGAATTACGACAATGTTTAAAAGTAAAATTCAAGGAAACTTTCAGTTTTACTAGACAATAAAGTCGATCCACCATTTGGAAAAAAATTGTATTAGGTTTTGAATGAGACTAAGTGTATCCATATTCACATTTTCACAGCACATGTGCCGGTTGTAAAATGTATGCCATAGACGGTACAGCGACCCTACATTACTTTTCAGAAGATTTCCTTCACTTTATTTCCTTATAAGGGAGTTTACGATCCTATGAAATATTTTATAACATATAAATTACTTGCCTTATGCTCACGTTTCCATTTTAGGAAGCAAAAATTTTTAATTATTTTTAAAATAACATATGATGAAATTACACATTTTTTTGTAGATAATTAATAATAAACTCCTATTTTTTATGTGAAAGGTGCAAACGAACAGGTAATTCACTTGATGTTAAACAATCGGAGATGGACACATGCATCACCAGAGTAGTGGTAGGTTGTTTTAGGGATCTGAGGATTGGGGATTTGCGATTGTTGCAGGATGATTATCGAGCCTTTGGTAAACTCACTGACACAGCAAAACACAGCGCTATAGTTGTGTCAATCGCCGGTTTTTTGTGTGATCACTTCAGTGGAGCCGGTCCATTCGTGTCAAAGCATGGCACTTCGAAATATACATATGTATGTATGTTACCAAGTTTTTTTTTACCGACTTCATTCGTTATAATCTACTCTTTAGTTTAAATCAATAGCCTTAACGAACTATTATTTACAAATCACGTGTCTCCAGACGATTTGTGAATGAAATATCAGAAAATTATAAAGACATATACTTACTGCTTTAAGTACCATCGTCACAACATTAAACTCATTTATGAGAAGCCAAAACGCTTCTTATATACCACAGCAATCAAAGGAACTTATTAATTTGAGTTTTGATGAGTGCAGCCACTGGTGTATCGAATTAATTAGGTCTGTTTCAACACTTATTAATTATAACACCGATAAGCCCGGATTGAAGGATTGAAATCGGTACGGTTGAAAACCTTGCTAGAAAAAAAAATCTGTCTGCACTTTTTTTTTGAAATACATGTCAAAAGAAAAAAGGAAATAAATGTTATAAACAAGTTGATATATGAAATTTGATGTCTTCTTTGACGAACATGACGTTCGTTATTTGAAAAAGATTATGAATTCATCTAAAAATTCGAATAATTGTACTTAACTGCAAAATTTATGCTGTAACTCCAACCAACAAGAAACACTACTCTGTATACATATAATTAACAAGCAATATTTTGCAGAATTTAACGCCACTTTTCAAAAATACTATAAAGCATAAACTGTCACCCATTTTTATCTTTAATGCGAGATAGGTCCTAAACCACAGTTCTTTTGTCACACTGTTGTTTCAGTGCTAAGAAAATGAAACGATCAGAGAATTATTTTAGATGTTTTTATTGTAGGAATCTACCATAACAAACCCATACCATAAAAAACCTCGTGAACAACAGCAGTGCATAGCATGGAAACAATTTTTTTAAACTAATCGCAGTAGTAAATGCTTATTTATATTTTAGAAATGGCTTTCAGAGCAACGTATTTGATATTTTACGTGAAACCGATTTATGGTAAAATACTGCTTACTTTGTACAGTTATCTGCTTAACCATACAACAATCGACTCCATACTCTACCATTATGAGGATTATTGTAAATGCAGTCGGTAAACAGAGGTTGTGAAGGCCGATGTTGAAGCAAGTATTTCCGAACTAACCTTTTATTAATCCTTACATAGGGATCTATGACTCTGACATGTTCTAAATTACTTAGTATAATCATTTGTAATGTTTTAGCGAATGTGGGTATGTTTCCTAGTTGATAGCTTCCTCTGTTTTCTGTAATACCCGGGTAACGATTGTGTAATTGTGGTAGTTTTGGCGCATAATATATAGAATTTTCTGAATTGGGCTGACAATTAGCTTCTGTTATGAGTCCTCTTGCTGGTAGAAAATTGTTGTAGGGTGTAATTAAATCCGGATTTCCAACGCTTTCCTGGTTATTAGAATCCTGATCCCCAAACTTCATTTGAAGATCTACAGGTGTCTGTGTGGGAGTCGGCATTGAAACTAACGAAGGCCTCTCATATTGGACATTTTGGACATATGGCTGTGCTACTTCTTGTTGTTTTAAAGTCTGAGCATTGTTTTCAAACTGGGCTCCAGTTTGTTCATGATTATAACTGTCAGCTTCATATGTATTATTAAACACGTCGTATATTTTATTTTCTACTTCACTTTGGTATGTTTCATCTTCATTAATTTGAATTTTGTGTTTATTTTGAGTTTCATATATTTCGGAAGAAGTTTCATTCTTTCCTATATCTTGATTCTCAGTATTTGCTTGAGTTGTAGATACATCCATTTCATCTGCTTCTTTTGGCTCGTTTTGCTGATCTTTTTCACTGACTTCAGTGTTAGAAAATTTTGTATTTGTGTTACTAGATTCTAATGAATTCATGTCAGTTTCCTCTCCGTGTCTAGGTATACGATATTGAAATTGTCTTGCTATTGCATTATCGACTTGATTAATAATAATTAAAGCAACAAGGAACGACTGGAAAATAAAACATTTTATGGAAAATGTGCTTGTACTCGTTTACGGGTAATTTACCTACATCGGTTTAATGTTCTTAAACATCTAATTTTTTTATAAAAATCCGTTATAGATGCATACTGAATAATTAATTTATTTCTTACACTTTTTAATGTTTTGTCTATAAATTTAACTCAAGAAAACTGACTTTACTTACCAGATGAAAAACCTGCATGTTGTATTTCCTTCGCTCTAATGATATTTTTCAATATGGACAAATCGTACAAGACCGAGCAATTTATAGAAGTAAGTTAACAATAAATTTTAACGCAAGCAATAACTCGCATTCGTTTCGGTGTACCAAAAAATCGTAACTTAATTTACAAGTAGATGGATAACAACTAATTATACTATGTTTTTCTTGCGATATACAATCGGAAAGAATTAATAGTCAATTGAAGATTTTAGTTTAATTCTATTTAAATACTTAGTACACAGCGATAAATGATTGTAAATATAGACTGTACAAGGCAACCTTTTTAATTAAAAAAAAAAACGTTACCCCATACTAGAATTTTCTCGTATGTCGTGGGCGCTACAATTATAAAAACTTACATACACATACAACCCAGACCCGAAACAACAATTTATGGATCACACAAAGAGTGGTTCCGTCCTGAAATCAAACCCCCGACACGTTGCACAGTGGCCGGTTGCCCAGCTACTCTGCCACCATCACAACCACCAGACATGCAATGAAGTACATTCAATGTGCTGGAGGGCTTCTCTGCCCCCTAATAACTGCAATACTACACCACTCCCTGAGGAAATTAGTCATCGTTGCGTTCCGTTTTCTCCCCGTGCTCGTCCTCGGGAACTTCATTGCTAAGAACTTAGCTTTAGGTTCCCGGCTTACAGACAACCGGTGTAGGATGGTCGAAAACTGGGCCCTAGGGACAGGCCTAGTCATGATGAATCGGGGTTCTGTCCCCACTCGCTGACTGGCGACTCATGGAAAAGGTGAAGATGTACCCGGACCACCGGTACCGGTTCGATGTTTCTGCCGAGTCCACAAACCCGCCAATAAGACCAGTACTACATGGAAGCCGCGGTCGTGCAGGCCTGGGTGATATCACCGGTTAAGACTGCCGACGTTAACAAGAAAGCGAGATGCCCCAGGTGTGGCCAGGCAAACACAAGCGTCGGATGCATTGGTGGTGGTGGGAGCTAACTGCTTTACGCGGAGAGTGCACCGCGGAGCAACGCCGGTACCTCAGGAACCGCAGCATCCATATCCGTCCTTTGGACGCTGAGGCCAAAGAGACGGAGCTCTACGAGAAGTCCAGGGCGGCGAAGGACACGCCTGCGATACGGATGCGAAGGATAGACCCTGTTATATCAGAGATAAGGACCTCTTTGAGGAGTTGCTTGAGAGCCGCCATGGTGCAGAGCGAGAGAGAGGGACTGGGAAGCCATCTCCTCTTTCTGCAAAGCAGTTATGCTCGCAAAGAAGGAGGCGGAGTGCGTGAAGAAGCTGTAGTCCCAGCCGGCGCAGTAGGCAACACTCCGGATGTCGGGGAACGAGAGACACTCTCTGGCCACCGTAAGCGCAGGTCTGCGGACGGCGAGTAAGGGTAGCTCATCGCCTGACCAGCGTTGCGTTCCGCGCACAATAGACCACCACAGCCGGGGCCCTATAGAGCTGATATACAGCCGAGGTTGCGGTAAGCGCAATGATGACAGCGGCCTCGGCCGGGAGCTGGGGTGGTTTTCAGTCAGTAAGAATCTGATTCTCTCCGCCCGACCCTGGATGGGAAAAGTCATTTCATGATCTCACAAAAAACTTATCTTTTCGTCAAACTTTTCTTGACTACAAAATGTTAAATGGCTGCTAATTTATAAACCGATTTGGTTGAAATTTCGTATGTAGATGGGTGATAACCTGGATTAACAACTAGGCTACTTTTTTTTCACCATGCGGGCTAAACCGTGGGTGGAAACTAGGTAATAATAAAATATCCTCTTCAATTTATTCAATCAATTTAATTCATTTTTTACATTAAATAAAACTATGTATATTGTACTAATTCTAAAAATCTAAATTTGCGGATAGCAACAACATTATTTCTAAAACACATCATCATCAAGAGGCCCAAAGTTTCGGAACTTTAGTTTCCTGGATTGTTGACGGGCACCTCCAATTGGAACAAAATGCGATCCACCTCTCAATTTCCTTAAAAATCCGCTAGATTCACCAATATAGTCAACGTCGTTGTCTTTGTTTGCGAGTAAGTATGGACTATCATCTTCCACCGCTTGATTTCTTTGTGATTCAAGCCAGAACTGTGAATTTTGGTTTTTCAGGATACCAGTAAGATATGCAAGGATATCTGGATTATCTTTAAAGAGTTTCCACAAATTAGACTCGTCATAGGAAGATAAACCAGTCGGTCTCAAATTCACTGCTTTATTGCTTTGAAATGGTTTTGGCAAAAATACGGGTGGTTGGATAGCTAGGTGTTGCTTGTCGAAACGATCGTAGTTGTTCAATCTATCATACATGTGATGATGATTATATCTTTTAGCGATATCGTTATAATTACGGTAATAATTATCCATTCCCTGATCAATATGAAAATATTGATTTGGATATAAAGTTATTTGTCCTGCAGATGTTTCATAATTTGGTTTCGTTAGCCCGTTATTTAAACATTCCTGTTTAGCTAAAATCATATCAAGGTATTGCCTGTCTATTTCATTCGAATCAAGAACATTGTTCATTATTGGCATTTTTAACACAAACGGATTTCTATCTCCAAGGTACTCCTGCAAAGAAAATCTAGGAGGCACATCTAGTGATTTATAGTCCACTTGTTCCGGATCGAGTTGATAACATGCTCCACAGGTTATGGCAACGGCTAGTGCTAACTGAAAATTAAAATGTAGCACTATGTCAATTGGTGTTACATACATCGAATTGTAATAGCGTTAGGTCCAGGTTAAAGGGACAAGCATTCATTAAATACATATTAACGCTTTGATAGTCACCTCAAAAACTCAGAAATATCTTAATAAAAAGTTCGCATAACTATTTAACAGTTGTAAATTAAGATGTACTTACTACGATATGTAATATGATTTGTGTTTGCTGCATTATTACTATGATACTGGATTCCTTCATAGACCCACACTAACTAATTGTTTTTATGTTCTACGTTTCAACAAAATCATAAATTAACCACGGTCTCGCAAACAAATTAATAACAAATGAAATAAGTACGGCTGATAAGAGCTTATCACCTTTAGTGTAATAAAACAATAATATGAATGTTTATGCAAATAAAACTAGCAATTTCACTAAATAAGTACCAAGAGTGACACGGAACGGGTTTTCGCACAAATAAATCCAAAACCATAGAAAATATTGAACTGATTTTAATGAAACTTCGTACGTATATCAAGGTCTAAGAACTTAATTGAGTACCCATGTGACGTGAACATACAAGATGTAAAAGTTGTGGTATCATATATGTATATTTATTCATAAATATATAAAATACTTCTGAAGTTAAAAGTGTACCTACATAAGCTACAGTAATCGAAACAAATATGAAACAACCTGGACATCAAAACGGCTTCGACCTTCTCCGTGTGAAAAGAGGCTTCGGCTCAGCAATGGACGAACGCTTACAAGCTGAAGTTATTGCTGAATCATCAGAAAGAGTTTTGGTCAGATAGGACTTGATGTACGATAATAAATAATTAAACCTATACCACTACAATATACCTGAAGACTTCAAGAAGTGACGTAATTTTACACACGTACAGTTACATTAATTAGTTTGTTTTGTAAGAAAAATTATAACAAAAAGTGCGTAACATTGATTGACCTTTAGAGAGGCGGTGATGTGACAAGATCTCTTGGTCCTGCCTCCTACGCCTACGTAACAATCAATCAAGGAATGATGGAGCACGTGTTGGGAAAACGAGGGAGAAATATCGGCTTCAAACGAATTTCTTCTCACTACCCTAAATGCCTCGAAGCCTATTCTTACCTAACCGTTTACAACTACTAGGTACGTGTCCAAAAGGTAAATTCAAAAAAGAATTTATCTGCTTTTTTACTCGTAATCTGCACCTAACTTCACTGTAGATCTTAATTGATACGGAATGTGTCACATAGATTAGTTTCAATAATAAATATTTACTATACTTTCAACAATTCCAGAAATTGTTGTGTGCTAATAAAGGGGCAATAAAATATGGTCGCATATAATGAATGGATTTTTAAAATAATCTCACACCACAAGCTAATTATTTTGTGGATACTTATCATAAGAGTTTGTTTTACAATATTGCCAGCCAGTATGCACAAAATATAATTTGAATATAGAACGTAATTCAAATAAAATATGGCCCGGTTTATCATACGATAAATAAAAACCAGATTTCATAAATTATCTGTGTACATTTTGACACAGATTATTGGAACTGTAGAAAATAATTTTATTAGGAATAATTTTAATGGATTTTTTTTTTAAAACCGTTTAAGAATTGTATTAGTCGATTACACATCTCATAAAAGGAGACAAGTAAGTGCACTTCAAGGGTTGCTGCAATGAACATGTTCGACTTTTTTTTATGTAAACGATCGGCAAACGATCAGACGGATTAGGGATTAGGTATTTAGGGATTGGGGGAGGGGAAGGATTGGGCCTCCGGTAACCTCACTCACACGGCGAAACACAACGCTATGGTTATTTCACGCCGGTTTTCTGTGAGGCCGTGGTATCACTCCGATCGAGCCGACCCATTCATGCCGAAGCATGGCTCTCCCACACTTACACACTTTGACTTAATATTGAGTAACTAAACTCACAGTATAAAGTTCTTGTTAAAAAATAATCTAGAACAATTATATATTTTTAAGTCATAGTCAAGTTTACGTCATATGAGGATGTTCTGAATACATTATTTTGAAGCATTATTGTTATTAAATAACAATTCTAGCCATACAGGATTAGAAAAACCCAAGTTAATGTGACGTTTTCTGGTTGGTATCCTAACAATACATGTGTCGTCCTTCGAATGTCACTATAAAGATGAGTACAGACACTATACGGACACCAGTGAGCTCAGTTATTGCTCAGTGACAAACGCCTTCAGAATGTTCAAATTGGTGAGTGATTTTTTCATTGATTGGACCTATTTTTGATATTTTGGCTTTAAATTAAGTTAAGGTAATAAGGTAGGTTGATAATACCTAATTTTATAGTGATTAAATAATAATAAATGATGATGATGACGATGACAATTATTATTTTTCTACTATCAAAAACGTTTTAATTCATTGCGCCCCAAGCGAACGCCGGCGTTCGCGAACCTATTGTTCTTCAATTGTGTCTCAAATTACCACAATTGAAAGGTTAATTTGCAATATATACTGTATTCATATATTTATTCTATATGTGTGTATTTGTTTATGTACATATCTTATACATCAATTGAGTGATACAGTATAGTTGTCGAATTTATTTCTATTTTTTTTCCTTCTGGCGGAATATGTTTTGGCTTCCACTAATCTAAGAAAATGCCTTAAGTCATGCACAAAGGAATGCACTAATGCCGCAATTAGCTATGGGTATGGGTATCAGTAGATACCTAAATAAAAAATGCCCTGTATTAATTCAATTTTTATCTCTATGACATAATGCACTTTTATCTCTTATCTGTCAATATAGTATCTGTGCGATTATAATTTCAAGAAACTATCAACCACTGGTATATGCTCTTTCTTATTTAGTGTTTCAATTAAACCTAATAGGTATATTCAAATGAAATAAAAAAAAAACAAAATAATATTTACCCTTTACCAGGGTCCCTATACGAGTAGAACACAATTCCAGGAGTTTTAAAGAAGATTTTAATAATTTTATTTCTTTTTAATTATTGTAGTGCTTTTGTAAGTCATTAAGATATACCTACATGTAATGAGCAAGTACTTTTTAATTTTAAAAATCTAAGATTATTTTTCAACCCCTGCTTCGATCTCGCAAACAACAAAAGAGTCATGTAGTTACATTTATCGCCTCAACTTTTCTTAAATTTTCTTTGTAAATAACCTTTTTCATTATCAAATAATAAATAAAGCAAAAAAAACGAATTGGCATAATTCGTCCAGGTGCGCGGAATGAGGCACCGCGACCTCGGCCAAGAGCAGGAGAAGGAACAGGGGGGTTTATAGTCAGTAAGAGTCTGACACAGTGAAGTCGTTTGATGATTTTCCCCTCACAAAAAAACCATCACATTTCGCGATTCATTTTTATATATTTAAGCCAAAGTAAGATTAGAATGTCAATGTGGCACAAACTTCTCAATAATTTTGCATCAGGGTAAGGATACTTATCACCTATTTTTTATATACTACTTATACGTAACTCCTGTAAGCATGTGCGTCAATCAGTATTTGTGTATGAATGAATGTAATTTCACAGAACATTTGTTCGTTCAAGGATGTAATTGTTTAGTCATACTAAATTAAGTGCGCATGTATATTATTTTAAAATACAATAATGACAAACTATTTAGATTTGCCGTGTTCAAAATATTAAACAACAAAAAATACACTAGAATAATAAAATTGTAATGTTGTTGTGGCTGTATTATTTAAAATACGAATCATTTTCTTTTTATTTTAATTATTTAAAATGATAGCAGATTCTTAAAGATGGTTTCGGCTAAGGCCCCTCACTGACAGAGACTTTTTATGGCTATGATATTAACTTTATTGAAAACTAGCTTTTGCCCGCGACTGCGCGAGTTCCAAACTATGTATGTACCAAATTTCATAGAAATCGGTTCAGTTGTTCGTGGTCGTGCTAGACGTTCGCCTCAGTTGGCGTTCAATAAATTTAGCATAAAAATTCACCATAGTTACTATTTAAAAACAGCCATGATATGACCCTAATCAAGAAGCCTAAAAATCAAGAAAAAAGTATCTCATACTCAGCCTGACTGCCTGACTGATAACCAGACAAAAAGACGGGATGTAAAAAATATTTAAGTATATTATTTTCTTTTGCAGTTGGTGATCGCCTGTATGCTGGCGGTGGGAATGGCAGCTCCCAATCCTGCTCTACTCTTCAGCGCTCCATACACGGCTTATGCTGCTCCTCTAGCATCTCCGTTTACATCCTTCGCGTACTCAGCGTACACGGCACCTGTGTCCTTCTCCGCGTACAATTATGCTTACCCCTCGCCATATACTGCACTATATTATAAATAAACTTATCAACAAATAAATACGCCAAAATACACTAATATTTTAGAAGAAAATAAATTATTGATTACGTTTTAATACAGTGTTTTGTTTTATTCTAAGATTCCCATATGATTATGGTAGATACATTTTATGATTAGTAGACAATAGGAATTATTTTTGGAATATTGAATTTAATTATTTGGAACTTACTGCCACGTTTATAAATGCCACTATCCAATGAAAGGTCTCTGATTTATTTCCCTGGAAAAATTACAATGCAATTTTCAGTTTTACAAAATACTTAGCCTTAACATAGAAATATAATGTGGTCGATGTATGGTTATGGGGTTGTTATCTATTAGGTCCGTAAATAAAATGAGGTGCTGTCATGCCTGCAAGGTCATACCTTTCCCAACTTGGCTGAGTAAACAAGACCACATGAGAGCACACGAAAAGGGAAGGAGTTGCAAAGGTCAATGTAACCTTAATTTTCATGCTAGGCTAACCTTCCCGTATTCACGTAGCTATATGAACACTTTTAAACCAATCGAGCTTTTGGCCACCCTTATAATATGTCTTGTAATCATATTCTGCTGGGGGGTTTTATTTTTTATATCTTAGGTCTGCAAACGAATAGAAAACTCGCAACACCAGAGGAATTACGAGTGCGTTGCCGGCCTTTTGGGGATTACAATTTCGGAGACTTAGGGATTCGGAAAGGTTGGTTTTGGTATAGGCGGTAGGCGTTATGCCACCCAGATGCAGCCGTAGCAACAGCCAGTGAGTAGCAGAACGGGGAATTACTGACTGCATTGCACGAGCTTCTGCTAAGATGGATCGCCAAGAGATGGAGGTGACCAGCCACTGCTGAGAGGTCACAAAAGTCGTTTTTGGTCATCGTGTCTTCTCCCAAAATATAGAAGACGGCACAACAGCTGAGTTTTTAGTTTTTAGTGGATGGTATTAAGACTCTGGTGATCTCACTCACACGGCGAAACACAACGCTGTAGTTGTTACTCGTACACTCCGATTTTCCGTGATACTGCGCTATATCATTCCGGTACAACCCATTCGTGCCGAATCATGGCTCTCCCACACACACACACTTGTCGTTATAGTTATTTAGCCCTTTCTTACTAACAGAATAAAAGTAAGACAACTATTTATACATTCATTTCCGCGTCGTGATATTTAAAGACAATGGAGACCAAATCAAGTAAAAATTATAGATTCCTCTGAAACGCTCTCTAGAAATGGTATAGCTTATTCAATAAATATGTCTTCATAGAAAACATTGCATAATGTGTATATGAGATAAGGAGGAAGACGGTTCACTTGATAGTAAGCGATCGGTACAACTCTTGCGCACCATGAACATCAGAAGATTTAGTAGATCGGTAATTTGGATTGGGCCTCCAAAAACATCACACTCATCGTTGTTTCACGCCGGTTTTCAGTTTTCTGTAATCCGTTTTGTCACTGCGGGTGCTCCTTATTTATGTCGAAGTACAACTTATTCACAGTTAAACGTTACCCAAATTCATTATTGTTTATTTGAAACAGAGAAAGGGAGAAATCTGGTAATTTTGGCGAAAAAGAAAAATGAAGTAGTTTATAATCCATTGTTTAATTTTATTTCATTGCTTATATCGGCGATCGAAATTTTCATTTGCGCAGGTAGTAGGCGGCGTAGGGTGAGGCGTAGGGGTAGGCGGAGTACGCGGCAATGGGTGCGGAGTACGCGGAGTAGGCGAGGGGCGCGGTGTAGGCGGCCGACACCACGGGAGCGGTGTACGCCGCAGCCACTGGCGCTGTGTATGCCGCGCTGTACAGCACACCAGGCTTGGGGTCAGCAATAGCGACCGCCATCACGCAAGCGAGGAAGAACTGAAAAGTAATTAGAACATTATTTTTTTATCTTACTGCTTTCTATGCCACTTTAGCAATTAAATACTTAAATGTACTACTACCAATTGTAGATTATACTCACAAGTTTGAACATTTTGTTTGTTGTTGTGAATAAGCTGCTGTTGAGCGAATGATATCGAAGAACTATCGGCCAACAACTTTATAGTAAATTAAGAAGGACAATGCACGCAATGTGAGCAAAGCCCCGTTCCCGAGGCGGCTTCGTGCTTCGAATACCGATGGGTTGGCCTCAACTGCAATGTGTTAATGAAGAGCAAGTGACCGTCCACTTTCCGTTTCATTATGAATTTTAATTAAAACAAGGCATCTCTGAACTTTACCGTGTTAGGTCAGGTACAATTTATTTATTATTACAGTGATATGTACAAAAATTATTTGTAAAAATGCTAGAGTGTGACGAAAAATTAAAAAACTTATTCATTGCTAAACTACAACGACGTTATCAATATCGTTCCTTATTTCAAATTTTTGAGTCGTTCTTATAGTATATATACACATTTAATTGTATTTCTCTATCATCCTAATTCTGACTAACATCGCTGGTGACTAAAATTGTGTGATATGGTAGGCCAATTCACAGTAAGCATAGCTCACCCCTTTTTTTTGTGAGGTGAAAATCATCAAATGACTTCTCCCGCCCAGGGTCAGGCGGGAGGGAGTGTCAGACTCTTACTGACTAAAAACCCCCCTGTTCCTTCTCCTGCTCTGTGCCGAGGTCGCGGTGCCTCATTGCGCTTACCCCGCAACCCCGGCTGATAGCTCACCCCTAATGATTTACAATTAATTTATTAATGTATAAGTTACCCACAGGTTGTGTATACACATGCGTACCATACAAGATATTCTGCATTAGGCTTGCATTCACCAATTATAGTGTTACTTTTTCCAGAGGTCTATACAGTTTAAAATTCCGGTGTATGCGTCACACGTAAGGGAAAGAGTAACCAAATCAAGCATAATGGTGAAATAAAACGTTGAAAAATATACCTATATCTGAAGATTAAGTTTTCATAAGGCGTGTTTTTATTATATTTTGTCGGCGCTAAAATTATTTATAGCAAATTTTGCACACCTCTACTTACCTTCCCGGTAAATAAAATATTTTGTTACCAACACATTTCATAGCTTTAAACGCAATGATGGATAGCAAAAAATATGATCTTAGCAAATGGTTGAATTCATTCGATATTGTTTATAGCATTTTAAATGCCGATAAGCAAATTTTGATTTCATTAACTTCAAATCCAGTTTACTTTGTAAATTAAATTTATGTTGCAGGAAGATTGAGACATCCGATAATGTTGTCTACCGAAATTTTAAATTTCAAGATAGCTTTCCTGCTATTGTAACAGCACCATTATCATTCAACGCATGTGGATTGGGCGTAGTATACTTTCGGCCTTCTTAAATCACTATATAACACGTAGACATCGCATTGTTTGTATCATTCAGTGCAGCACTAGCTCAGTGAAAACAATCAAAATGTTCAAGTCAATCGTAAGTTTATCAAGTGCAACACTAAGATTATTTATTATAATAAGTATTATTCGAAAAGAAAATAAGAAGTTTCATCTTTCAGATCGTATTCGCCTGCATGTTGGTGGCAGCTATCGCTGACCCCAAGCCTGGTGTGCTGTACAGCGCGGCCTACACAGCGCCAGTAGCTGCGGCGTACACCGCTCCCGTGGTGTCGGCCGCCTACACCGCGCCCCTCGCCTACTCCGCGTACTCCGCACCCATCGCCGCGTACTCCGCCTACCCCTACGCCTCACCCTACGCTGCCTACTACCTGCGCAAATGAACCACAACCGACCGATATGAACAAACAAAATGAATAAAATATAAATGAATAAAATAAAAAATTCGATCAAATTAATTTTATTGACCTCCTTTAAATAATCCTTCTAATAAACTTTCATTATACAGTTTTATTAAGGGCGCAATCAAATTATAATTTTTTCGGTCTTAATAAATACTTAAAATTTATTTAGATCATGTAAAAGGAAAAAAGAGACGCATAAATTAGAAAAAAGAAATTTAGTAGCCAAACTAAATAAAATGTAGTAATCAGCTGGAAAGCTAAAACATTATGTTTACCTTTATACCATAATGTATAAAAGTCAAAGTCAAATCATTCATTTCAAATAGCGCACTGAGCCTCCTACAGTGGTCTGTTTGTAATATCTTTTTTAAATATCAATCAAAAAGATATAAATGAGTAAGTCCAACTGTATGTTTCAGTTGGTGAGTCTGCCTGTCAGTGGAGAAAAACTAGCATAAAACTCCATAGTTATTCTTTTTCAATAAGTTTTACAATAAATGTCTTTATTAAATATACATAATAAAACACACAGAGCGAAAAACTTTTCGGTTAGCTAATAAAATATACTTTACAAAAAGACATAATTTTTAAGTAAATTATTTGTCTCGCAAAATTAGAGCTTAAATTATTAGATTAATTGATTAGAAATCCAAATTTTAAAGAGATAGATATAGATAGATATTATATTTTGTTGTTTGAATAAATGCGTGCATAAATCCACGTGCACTCTCTATTTCTTTTTGTTGTTTCATCACCTTTTGGTGTGTTTGCTTGTGGCCAACACACAGAGTGAAATACCACGGACTTCCTAGACTGACATCAAATGAAAAATTTCTTATACGTATTCATATTTTTTACATATTTATACGATAATTAACGTGCATGTGATTATATCTAACACTGCATATGTTTCCATGGGACAATAATATTATTATTGACCTTCCAGCAATGTGTGCTTGCATGGCCGGTGCCCGGCTCGGAGTAAGAGAAGGAACGGTGTGGTTTTTTGTGAGTAAGAGCCTGACACTCGCTCCTTGGCCCAGGGTGGGAGATGCCTTTGAACGATTATACGAGTAACCAAATAAAAAATAGAAAACAAAGGATAATATTATTCGTTCACTGGCGATTTATAAACCTGACACTCATTGAGAGTAGGTACCTACTGAGCAGTTTTAGAGTATAGGGATGATGAGAAATTTTCATTTTAATGTATGACTTTTAAGTAAATTTAAAACCTTAGACACGTTCATTGTCACAGAGTCAAATATTTATTTAAAATATCGTGTGACGTCACGCCCCAGTGGCATTTTATTTTAAATTAACCAGGTTGCAAATTCCCGTTACCAAACTTAAATAAAATCAATTTTTGTAAACACAGTTTTCTTATTTGAGACAAATAAAAATGTGTTCTTAATTTTTCGCCGTCTCACTTAAGAACTAATATTTATTTATTTATTTAGAGTACACACACACAGATGGGGCCCAACAGGATCGATGTTTAGACGGGGCAGCAGTTCAAACGCAATAAGGTAAAGGTACCTCTGCCTTACCCTTGAGCAGGAGAAGGAACGGGGTGGTTTTTAGTCAGTAAGAGTCTGACACTCCTTTTCACACTTTAATAAAATATTCCTCAATGTTGCCCATTTTGTATCAATTTATATTATTGCATGGACCAAGTAGGTGATATTTTGAAAAAAAGGTCAAATTAAAAGCATATTTTATCGACGAATTATGATCGAATCATGAAGGAACGATTTGGCATTGTATGATGTTTCTGCTTGCCCCAAAGTAAGATAAGCGTAACGATAATATTACTAATCCTACTAATATTATGTTGCGCAAGTTACAATGTTTGGATGTTTTTTACTTAGTTGCGCCAAAACGGCTGAACGGATCTGGTTGAAATTTGGCACTGGCATAGGATACACTCCAGAATAGGACAAAAACTACTTTTCATCAATATACCACGCGGGCAAAGTCGCGGGCGGAAGCCAGTTCATCATAATATGTATTTATCAATTTAGGGTTAATTAATAATAAGATACCATTTATTAAATAACAATTATTTATTACTTTTATCGTCAACCATTATTTTTCATAGCTCATTTGCGTAGGTAGTAGGCGGCGTAGGGCGAGGCGTAGGGGTAGGCAGAGTACGCGGCGATGGGTGCGGAGTACGCGGAGTAGGCGAGGGGCGCGGTGTAGGCGGCCGACACCACGGGAGCGGTGTACGCCGCAGCCACTGGCGCTGTGTATGCCGCGCTGTACAGCACACCAGGCTTGGGGTCAGCGAAAGCTGCCACCAACATGCAGGCGAGGATGATCTGAAAAATTTTACGTTGCATTAGATCACTATTTATGTTTTTCAGAACACTATTACTGGTTTTTTCCACATTCTTCGTGAGATACTTACGATTGACTTGAACATTTTGATTGTTTTCACTGAGCTAGTGCTGCACTGAATGATACAAACGATCGGGGACCTACGAATTATATAGTGATTTAAGAAGGTCGTAAGCTAGTACGCAACTTGATGTTAATGGAACTCACTAACATGCTGCATATAGAATTACAATGAGTTTCCTTTAACCACAATCCTTAATGAACTTTTTACTCTCACTATCGTTGTAAGGTAGTACTAGGTATTAAGATTTGAACAATTAGTTTTAAAACGAATTACCACTAGATTCTACTATTTATAATGAACTTTCTCTCCTGCGCTAGTTTTTCAACTTACCAATTTTTGTTATTTCAACTGGTCACAAATCTAAAGGTCGTGTTTACATCGCTTTTGATCACGTGTTCATACTTAAATAATTTTCTCGAGAATTTAGGACAACCACAATACTTATTAAAATTATTTGAAATTTTCTTAAGATGTTTATAAAGTAGTAAACATTTCATTAAATCACTGAATCACTATTTCTTAAGGCAGGTACACTGATTACTATTCCTTGCGCGGCAAACATTGGCTGGACTTGCGCATTGGGCATTCGACCTTCTGTTCTTTCTTGTAGATACTATAAAAACAATGGACCACAAATATTTTTTATCATTCAGTGTAGCAGTAGCTCAGTGAAAACAATCAAAATGTTCAAATACGTGGTAAGTTCCATTTTCTATGTTGGGTAACTTAAAACTGTTTTATGACTAACTGTTGAATATAACTTTTCAGGTACAATGCGTACACTATATAAACAGAAAATTAAAATTAATATAAATAAAACGAAGTAACCCACTAATTTATTAATTTTTTTCCAGATCGTCCTCGCCTGCATGTTGGTGGCAGCTTTCGCTGACCCCAAGCCTGGTGTGCTATACAGCGCGGCATACACAGCGCCTGTGGCTGCGGCGTACACCGCTCCCGTGGTGTCGGCCGCCTACACCGCGCCCCTCGCCTACTCCGCGTACTCCGCACCCCTCGCCGCGTACTCCGCCTACCCCTACGCCTCACCCTACGCCGCCTACTACCTGCGCAAATGATTCAATTATATATGACACATAAAATATAAAACGCAATCGATTACAAATATAATTATTTAAACAAAAATATTTTTTTCTTTTTCATACAATAGCATGACCCATGTATATGTTTAGGATATTATATTACGATTAATTTATATTCGTGTTATCGCAATATTAGCCATAGTTACACATTACAAACCATATAACCATTACACATTATACACACATCAAAATAGTAGGTAATCTCATTGCACTATTTGTTTTCGTTGACGTTGAAAAGGATGTCTTATCTATTTATTTATACATAGGTATATTTAAATACTTAATAAAATTACTATTCCACTATATTATTGACAAGCTAATATCTCTAGAGCTTAGTAAAAAAAAAACATCTAAAACCACCGAATTATGAGTAAATCGTTACAACAATGATGATGATATTAAGCTAATTATTACATCAGTTCGGCACTAGTACCTACAGATACAGAATATGATACCAATACTATTGATATTTTTAGGAAAATTTTATTTTACAAAAACAACTCTTAGAGCAACCTAGGAATCAATGCCTTGGTAGTTGGACCACTTGAGACAGACAATAGGCATATTAAATAAGTGGAAAACGCTTAGCCAACCCTAATAGTGCATCAAAATCATGCCTTAAAGTGGCATTGTTCTGATTCCAAACATTACTAAAGCGTGTGTAACGCAGACATTACATGGACACTGTCCATCGTGAATAGGCAATCAAAGTCATGCAAATGAAACACCTTCGTCGTGAATCGAATTCAAACTTCTAGGTATTTTACGCACCTACCTTGGATAAGGAAAATAGGTACAAGCACAAAATTACATATTTCTTGTGACTTCAAAAAAGGTTTATTTAACTTAAGTTATAATTTTTAAAATTGTTAAATTTTATTTCAAACAGTATAATAATAAGATGACAACTCTAAACATAAGAACATGAGAACTCTATCCATGAGAAATGTTTTTTTTTTTGTTAGGGAAAAATCATCAGAGCACTTCTCCCGCCCAGGGTCGGGCGGGAGGTTGTGTCAGACTCTTACTTACTAAAAACACCCCCGTTCCTTCTCCTACTCTGGGCCGACGTCGCGGTGACTCATTGCGCTTACCCCGCAACCACGGTAAGAGAAATTATAGGTACTTTTTCTTAAAACCTAATTACACTGTTACACCATCTTAAGTAAACGCACGGGCCTGCGGTCGGCGGGTAAGGGCGGCTCGCGGCCCGACCAGAACCAGGCCCGAGTGTACGGCGCGTAGCGTTCCGCGCACGCCTCAAAGAGCCAATAGACCACCACAGACGGGGCCCTAAAGGGCTGATGTTCAGCCGGGGTTGCGGGGTAAGCGCAATGAGGCACCGCGACCTCGGCACAGAACAGGAGAAGGAACAGGGGGGTTTTTAGTCAGTAAGAGTCTGACACTCCCTCCCGCCCGGCCCTGGGCGGGAGAAGTCACTTGATGATTTTCCCCTCACAAAAAAAAAACAACATCTTAAGTATCAATTAAGATCAAAAATAGATCAAAGGCTTCAATGCTTTATGTGGTTTTAACTAGCTTTTTTGCTTTAGGGAAAAATTCATCAAATGTTTTCCATATCTGTTGTGTATTATGTTCTCCCTGATAGGGATAGGTGAGAAAGTGTCCGCGGCAAAAATTTTGGATCCGCAACCCTGACGCTTTTCAACTAGCTCCAAATGCAAAACACTGACTTACAATAATGCTGATGCGTTAACCATCTTAAATAAAAACATCACGCATTTTATGCTGCGAGAAAATTAACATTTATCCTATATTTTTTTTTTCATCTTCTTTCTCTGGCCACAGTATTGATATTATTGAGAAGTATATCGAACCCGACGCCAGCAGCAGTGAATTGTGACTATTTAACCAATAATTTAGTCAGAAATATGCAATCATACTTTCATTTCCATTGTGATAGAAAAATATTACCCAATAATTACTGAGTAAAATTTCTAATTCAGGAACTCCATTAAAACTAGTTCTGAAATTGGCAAAAAGTATTTTAATATATGTTTTAAAAACCTGTTTATCTGGTTAAACTGGTTGTTAAAAAAAATATTTAAATACTTTTTTAAAGACTGTTTCTATTATCAATCGCTATTACTTAATACTATTAAGTATTGTATTTTCATAACATTATCTTTTTTACTAACTTTCTACAGAAATGTCATCTTAGGTTATTTTATGAATTATGTTATTCCTAGTTAATGTGATTAAATACACGAAATGAGTAAAGAAACCAATTCGCGATTCACGAAAAATCAAGCTATGATTTGAATAGATTTTCATGTCACGCAAGGTTATACCTACTGCAAATTGCGTACCTAACTGAAAATTCTCATAAATATTATTAAATTATTTGTACAAAAATATCGTATCATTTCAATACGACTAACCTCCATCAAAATATTTTGTCTGTAATTGTAGTCCCAGACCGGAAAAATTCATTACTATGCTGTAATATGTGTCTGCGTTCTCGATTAAAAAACAATAAAATAAAATAAACTCATATGCATTCGGCATCCTCAATTTACTATAAAATTCGTAGCTTTGACACCTTTCTTATCATTCAGTGAAACAGTAGCTCCGTGAAAACAATTAAAATGTTCAAGTACATTGTACGTATAGAAAAATATTTTGAGTAAATAGGTGGTGAATGTTGTAAAGTGAATTTTGTGACAGTGCTCTTTTAGTGTGTTTCTTCTGCAGAACAATTTTGTCTAGCTTTAAAAATCTGGATTTCTCTGAATTGCAAAATTAGAAATAAATTATTTTGCAGGTTGTATTCGCCTGCATGCTGGTGGCAGCTATCGCTTACGCCAAACCTAGTGGCCTGTACGCTACCGTGGTGTCGGCCGCACCCCGCGCCTTGTACTCCGCATCTCTCCCGGCGTACTCCGCCTACGGCAACGCCGCACCCTTTACCGGTTACTACCCAGGGAAATGATTTTAACCAGACGAATACAAGACAATGAATAAATGAAATTATCTATAAACATTTTGGTATTTTATTTTATCACTTTTTTATGTTATATGTCGGCAAACGAGCAAACGAATTACCTGATGGTAAGCAATCGGCGCATTCGGCGCCACCCATGGACACCCGTAACACCCAAGGGGTTACGAGTGCGTTGCCAGCCTTTTAGGGAGATTTGGATACGGATATTTAAGGATTGGGAAGGGATGGAGGGAGGAGGAGGGATTGGTCCTCCAATAACGTCACTTACACGCCGAAACACAACGCTGAGGTGGTTTCACGCCACCCATTCTTGCCGAAGCTAGTTATACCCAAAACTAAACCTAAATGTTATGGTCTCTCTACTCTTTATTATGAACTCATAAGTTTTTAAAGACAGAAATACTTCATTAATTAGCATCATCGAAGTCTAAAATAAATAAATGGCAAAAAGGCGTCTATAACGCAAATAAAAAACTAGGTAACTACTGAAAAATCAGTACACTCAGACACTACGCGCAACAGGTTAAAAAAAATAAAACTTAATTATAATATAATACTAACAGAAGCTTACAAAACATACATAAAAGATACTTCAGATGGTTCTGAACCAAATGACCTTTAAATTGTGATTAATTTGACACACAATAGAAGAACAATAGGCATTCGCTTGAAATTTGATGAATTCATTGACAACAAAATATGAAAAAAAATGTACCTATAACTCTTGAATACCACGTCAACTACCAAAGCACATATGTGCCATTTCATACATAACATCGATTCAAAGAAAATTTAGTAGACATTACATAAAAGGGTAGACATATTTAACTTTTGTAATTTTTTATATAATTATATTGAATTTTAACTTATACAGCAAAAGAAAAACTGAGTGAACAGTTTAAAACAACATAGTTATAAGCTATAACCTAATTATGATGTTAATGGAACGGACTTTAACAAGAATGCGGCATTCCGAGGGAATATATTTGTACTACATTAAATTAGTTAAAATCACTGTTGTTAGCAACATAACTATTAATTAGTAAACTGACAAGAAATACACGCAACATTATGGTGTCATTGTGTATTAATCTAACCTAAAATCAGAGCACACAGAAACATGATATTTGAAGGGAACACTGTGATGGATAGAATTTAGACCCATTTTCACAACAGGTCAAGGCTTTCCGACCTTAGTTCAGTGGACAAACCTTGGCTTCCATAGTTCCTTAACTGTTTGTTGATGTCAGACGATCGTGTCAAGTAAGAAACAGATTTTTATTGAAATAAGGTCATTATGTGGCACTTTTTGAAATGTAGAATTGCCAAACACCTACGTAAATAACTGTGGAGAGAAATGCTTCGCTACGAATGGGTCGGCCGGAGTGATATCACGGCCTCACAGAAAACCAGCGTAAAACAACCTCAGAATTGTGTTTCGTCGTGTGAATGAGGTTGAATGAACCGTAGGGTCAATCCTTTTAATTCCAAAATCTCTGAAACCCTAATACAACTAGTAATACTACTACTGAGATCCTACCAGAAGTTATATTATAATGTTTCTTGTTTTTTATATGAAACAAACGAGGAAATTTTACACTCCTCAGTCAAAATATTCAGGGCATTTCATCCAAGTTACCAGAATTGGAATTATTTTTAGAAAAATTTAAATTTGACATAGTTTGTATTACAGAGCATTGGATGAAGAAGTATCAGGTAGAATTTATGAGTTTTAAAAATTATTGTGTTGGTAGTTTCTTTAGCCGTCAAGCAATGATTCATGGTGGTAGTTTAATATTATTAAAAAACTCAATTAAATATAAAGAAAGACAAGATATTACTTCACTTTCCATTGAGCATACAATTGAATTGTCCTGTGTGGAGCTGGATAGGCATGTTGTAATATGCGTTTATAGACCTCCTAACTTACAGAACTTAAACATTTTTAACTCAGTCATGGAACAAGTTTTGCAGAAAGTGTGTTCAAACAGTAAATTCACAATAGTATGTGGCGATTTTAATATTGATCTCTTAGAAAACAATTCTAATTGTGTTAATTTAGTAAGTCTTTTTAAATCTTTTGATTTGTCTAATGTTTTCCTTGAGCCCACCCGAGTAACATCCACCTCGGCTACATGCATAGATAATATATTTTGTAACTGTAATTATTTACATAAGGATATAATAAATACCTTACCATCAGACCACAGTGGGTTAACAATGAACCTTAACAACATCACAAAGGTGCCAAAAAAGGAAATAATGTTTAGGCAAATCACAAATAAAAGGGTTGAGTTATTAAATAACAATTTGAAACATAATTTATGCAGCCCATCACATGATTATGAAGGTCCAAGTGAGATTTATGACAATCTACTGTCCGTGATTAAAACCCAGTTTGATAAAATATTCCCCTTAAAAAGAAAAACTATTGAGTGTAAATTTGTATTCTGTGACTGGGCTACCCCAGGTATTCGTAGAAGTAGGGAAAGGTTATTTGAGCTATATGGTATGAAACCATTTGATACTAGTGAAGCCTTCAGCAAGCATGTGTCCAAATATGCAAAAATATTTAAAACAGTCTGTAAGAAAGCTAAATCACTTTATATTGGCAATAAGATTAAAAATGCTGAAAATAAAACAAAAGCTACGTGGAAGGTAATTAATAACGAGACAGGCAGAAATAAATTGCATAACACGGAATTTAATTTAAATACGGATAATGGACGAGTTAATGCTAATCAAGAAGTTGCCCAAGAATTCGAATTTTTTTTCAAGAATATCCCCATTAAAACTACGAAAGACTTAGAATCATCTCCGGCACTTTCTATTAGTCTTCTTAAAAGAAATGTTAAAGAATGCCGTTCTGGCTTCCGATTTCAGTACACGGACCCGCAATCAGTAATAAAGGCGTTTAAAGACATAAAAGTTAAGTCTACAGAGGATCTATGGGGAATGTCTGTTGTGGTGTGTAGGTCTTTTATAGAAGCTATAGCGCCTTACTTAGCTGTAATTTTTAATAAAAGTGTAGATCAGGGTGTTTTTCCAAATTTGATGAAACTTAGCAAGGTAGTTCCGTTGTTTAAATCTGGCGATGACAATGATCCCAATAATTATAGGCCGGTATCAATTTTACCAGTGCTTAGTAAAGTGTTTGAAAAGCTAATGCTTTCTCAGATGCTACGACACTTTAACATAAATTCCATCTTTCATGACCAACAATATGGGTTTACCAAGGGTCGATGCACAACTGACGCCGGTGTAGCTCTACTTAAGCATGTTTTTGCCTCATGGGAAAAGTCAAACGACGCTATTGGGATTTTTTGTGACCTGTCTAAAGCTTTTGATTGCGTTGAACACACGACACTGTTGCTGAAGTTGGAACACTATGGCATTCGAGGGGTATCTCTCAATTTATTAAAATCATACCTGCAGGATAGGCAGTTCAAAGTACAAGTAAATAAAGTGAACTCCCAGGGTACTAGCATATCTATGGGCGTACCACAGGGCTCAATATTAGGTCCTTTCCTGTTTTTAGTGTACATAAATGATTTACCTCATTTATTTCAACGTGAACCGGGAATGGTATTATTTGCTGATGACACATCGTTGATTTTTAAAATAAATAGACGGACAGATAATTATGACGACGTAAATAATGCTATAACGAAGGTTCATAATTGGTTTACAATTAATAATTTAGTCCTAAACGACAAAAAGACTAAATGTATACGATTCAGTTTGCCAAATGTTAAAAGTACCGAATGTGACATATTATTAAACGGTAATAAATTGGAATTTGTAAAACAAACTACTTTTCTGGGTATAACCATAGATGACAAACTACAATGGGGGCCCCATATCACATCTCTGGCAGGACGGTTGAGCTCTGCAGCATTTGCTGTCTGGAAGATCCGACAGCTAACAGATGTGGACACTGCAAGACTGGTGTACTTCAGCTACTTTCATAGCATTATGTCGTATGGCATCTTGTTGTGGGGACAGGCTGCTGACATTGAGTCTATCTTTGTCTTGCAAAAGCGTGCCATCAGAGCTATTTACAATCTAAGGCGTCGTGAGTCTCTTAGAGAAAAGTTTAGAGAGATCAATATTATGACCGTGCCATGTCAGTTTATTTATGAAAACATTATGTATGTTAGGAAAAACTTAAAAATATTCGATAAGGTGTCAGATAGACATAATTATCAAACTAGACATAGAGATAGATTATGTCAGCCATTATTTAGATTGGCAAAGGTACATAAGTCGTTCATGGGATTCTGTGTTAAATGTTATAACAAAATCCCAGGCGAAATACAACAATTAAATGAAAGAAATTTTAAATTATGTGTAAAGAAAACTTTATGTAGAAAAGCATACTACACACTGAATGATTACATTGTAGATAAAGATGCTTGGAGACATGCTGGTCCTGCTCCACAGGATAGCAAACGTACACCAAAATAAATAACGTTCCAATGGATTTTGCTTGAACGGGACTTCTTCATTTTAGTGAAATTGCATTATATTGTATAACTATAACTTGATAAATTTGTAAATGTGAGTGCCCTGTAACCTATTATAATTGGTTAGACTAGCAGAATGTCGGTCCTTATAACAGCTTGGAGTTGTCATGCTCACTGAAAGGTCACACTGGCGGTGGCATGGGCACTGGATCGCTTAATTCCCTATAATATGGTTGAGTTGGGCGATGCTGGTGTACGTGTCATGCTCGTGAACGAGCGCCGTCAGTTGGGACTGGTCAGCTCCAGACTGTCTATTGTCCTTAAGGTTACTTTATTTTTATATTTGAATAAATATTAGTGTTACACTGTTCTCACATAATTGAACCAACTGTTTGTAAAAGGAATCTGTATGTGAAACTGATTTAAAAAGAGTAACCATGGAGTTTCTTGCTCGTTCTTCTCCATCGGAATCTACACTTTGGAACGAGCAAATAGCTTCACTAAGAGGACTGACCGACAGACTGACACTATTTTTTATTTTATATTTTGTTTGACGTTCAAAAGTGCCTGTAAAGGTCTAATTGGAATAAATGATTTTTGACTTTTGACTTTAAAAAAAAACATTACCGAATATGTTCAGTTTAATTTAGTACATACTGCTCAGGAAAATTCCTACTTCATTATATACAAGTATTATTTATTTAGAGGATACTGCACTGCATTCGGGGCATAAAATTATAAAAGTATTCCATTGATATAATTAATTATTTGTTGAACTATCGTTTTATTAGTCTAGTGATGAATTAATTGCCAATGTAAAGGAATAATTCAGAAAAATAAATATAATTTCAGCTATAATCAATTCTTTGAAGTCATTTTGGATAAGAAAATTAGAAAACACACAAATTGTGATCGAAGCTATACTTTATTATTTTCTTCTGCTATATTTTAATGTTCATCATATCCAATATGTTCGTAGGGTCAGAGTGTTTGTCCATTTCACTTGCGCAGGTAGTAGGCGGCGTAGGGTGAGGCGTAGGGGTAGGCGGAGTACGCGGCGAGGGGTGCGGAGTACGCGGAGTAGGCGAGGGGTGCGGTGTACGCGGCCGACACCACGGGAGCGGTGTACGCCGCAGCTACTGGCGCTGTGTATGCCGCGCTGTACAGCACACCAGGCTTGGGGTCAGCAAAAGCCACCGCCATCATGCAGATGAATACGAACTGAGGAAAAAACAAATATTAAAGTTAACCTTGATAATGCAACTCGTATTAGACGAATAAAGAATTAAAAGAAAAACAATTTATTTAAAACTCAGACATTCAAAATAAATTCCTTGTTATCTTTTCACGAAACAGTCAACACAGCACGTCTAAGACAATACAACGATTCAATATCTTCTAAAGCGTTCTGATAAACTAAGTTACGCAAAATACTTACGTATTTGAACATGTTTGTTGTTGTCACTTAGATGCTGATGCACTGAATGATATCAAACCTACAGAACTGGAGAACTTTATAGTAAGTTGCGAAGGACAACGGACGCAATGCGTACAGAGGTAAAACGAAGTTTGGGTAATGGTCGTAGGACTGTGGCTTGAATGACAATTGATAACATCAGCCGAAAGTGTTAAGGAAATTCTTATAAGCATTCCAAATTCCAATAATGCAATAGGTAATATTAATTTGTCTAATGGAATCGATATCGTGTCCAGGCCCTAGCAGACGTTAAATTATGTCGTAATATCCTGCCAGGTTTGCGGGTCAAGCGCAATACTGACCTGTGGCCCCGGCCTAGAGTAGGAGAAGGAACGGGGTGGTTTTTAGTCAGTAAGGTGTGTGACACTCCCTCTAGCCTCACCCAGAGCTGAAGAAGGCATTCAATGATTTGTCCCTTAAAAAATGTTTTATCCTATAAAGTATACTCATTTTGTTTTCAGATGGGTTCGTTGGTCGAGTACTACAACTTTCTGTTTTCAAGAAAGACGAAAGATTTTATTATTATATAATTCGGTAGCAGTGCAGTCTAAAATAGGGCCGGGTCTATGCTAATTATATTATAAAACGTGGGGTTAATAAGATAAATGTTGAAAAGAAATGAGTGTTACATAAATATAGTGTGGTATATATTATGTGGATGAAAGACACGATATTTTTCAATAATTATTACAATATTATAGAGAAATCACAACCTTGCTCAAAACGTTGAAATGCTGATCGCAAAATAATTAGTTCCTTGAATCGAATCGGAAACAAGTGTGCAGTCAAGTCAAGTATTTTTTTTTGAGTTGAAAATCATAAAGAGACTTCTCTCGGCGAGAAAGTATCAGACTTTTACTGACTAAAATCCCTCCCTTCCTTTCCCTCAGTTCCTTAACCTGCTCCAAACTGAGTATGTGGTACATTATTGCCCTTGCCCCGCAACCCCGGCAGAATGAAGTTTACCCTCCATCATATTTAATTTTGGTGAGCACAAAAAATTTACCAATATAAGATAAACAAAACATTGAATTAAATTAAATCAATTCATTTTTATTATTGCCTAAACCCGAAAAAGTTCGACCAACATACATACAAACCAATTTTGGGTTAGGTATTACACAAAAACATTTTTTTCACTCGAAACGTGATCTTTACTAGATCGCTGCTAAATTGTTGAAACGCTTAGGCAAAAAATCGGTAGTTCGACAAATAAAGTTATATCTTATGAATACTTTTACAATTGCAAGCTCCGAATACGGAGAAATTAATCAAATGTTTTCTTCTTTCGACCTTGACCCGCAAACCCGGCAGGATATAAGGCCAAAACTTCATGACTCGTATGGCCTATTCCATTAGACAAATTTATTGCATTATCGGAATGCTTATAAGAATTTCCTTAACACTTTCGGCTGATGTTATCAATTGTCATTCAAGCCACAGTCCTACGACCACTACCCAAACTTCGGTTTACCTCTGTACGCATTGCGTCCGTTGTCCTTCGCAACTTACTATAAAGTTCTCCAGTTCTGTAGGTTTGATATCAGTCAGTGCATCAGCATCTCAGTGACAACAACAAACATGTTCAAATACGTAAGTATATTGCGTAACTTAGTTTATCAAAACACTTGAAGATATTGAATCGTTGTATTGTGTTTGCCGTGCTGTGTGTTGACTGTATCGTGAAAAGACACCAAAGAGTTTTAGTTTGATTTTTTTTTGAGTTTTCAATAAATTGTTTTTTTATTTGTAATTCTTTATTCTTCACCAATAATGTTACCTGGAAACAAAAAACTAAACAATATGCATATGTTTTAAAATTTTAGCAACTCTTTGTATTGCTTTAGTCAAACACTTATATATGTATATTATATATGTTTTTGTAAGAGGTGTTACAAATTCAAGAAGAATATTAGTTGCCTTATCAATTTTAACTTTAATATTCGTTTTTTCCACAGTTCGTATTCATCTGCATGATGGCGGTGGCTTTTGCTGACCCCAAGCCTGGTGTGCTGTACAGCGCGGCATACACAGCGCCAGTAGCTGCGGCGTACACCGCTCCCGTAGTGTCGGCCGCCTACACCGCGCCCCTCGCCTACTCCGCGTACTCCGCACCCATCGCCGCGTACTCCGCCTACCCCTACGCCTCACCATACGCCGCCTACTACCTGCGCAAGTGAATTGGACAAACACTATGACACTACGAACCTATTGGATAAACATTAAAATATAGCAGAAGAAAATAATAAAGTATAGCTTCGATCACAATTAATGTATTTCATAACTACCTCATCCAAAATTACCTTCAAAGAATTAATACAAACATAGCTAAAATTGATTCCGTCTGGTTTATTTCTGATTAATTCCGTTATATCGGCAATAAATAAATCTGACTGCACGGTTGGCGCGGCGGCTGGGCAACTGGCTGCCGCAAATTATACTACATTACATTTTTAAAACCATTTAAAATAAGATTAGACTCTGCAGAACAAGAAGTAACCAATCATATTAATGTTTTAACGCTATTTCGTTCAAAATTAGGGTAATTCTCATGAAAATGTTTGCTAATACGATAATGGCTTTTGGACAATGATACACAATTTTTATAAAAGCTTCAAATGTAAACATGACTGGGTAGAATTTTAATCTCATTATGTTGCTTATTGAGATTGATGTTACAAATCGATAGGTGACATTCGAAATTTGAATGAATTATGTAACTAAAGAAAAGTAATCGTGTCTTTGTGACAACCTGCCTAGTATATCTTATTGGTTCCAATAAAGCAGAAAATTTGTTACATTGATCTAGATAGTGGTATAATAATGACTCCATTTTAAAAGTTAAAATCTCTGATTTAATAATTTATTTCAGTAAGCCAGTCGATTTCCAGGCAGAGTCACACATTTTTTAATTAAATTTGTCAATTTTACTTGAAAACTTTCAAAAAACACTGTGATGAACAGGTCAAGGCTTTCTGACCTTAGTTCAGTGGACAAACCTTGGCTTCCATAGTTCCTTAACTGTTTGTTAACGTCCACTGTTCATGCAACGTGAGACACAGATTTTTATTCAAATGAGGCCATTAAAGGGCACTTTTTCAAATCTAGAATTACCAAATACGTACACGCGTTTATCCATTATTGAGGTAAGAAGGCAAATCTACAAAACTTTAAAAATATTGCTATGATTCAATATTTTTCTAATGATTTGTTACACAATATAATGGAATGGAATTAGTACTCTAATAGAATAAAGATCGAATGAGAAAAAATAATAATAAAAATCGTCATTTTAGCTTGTAACTAATACTCAGGTTGACAACGCACTTGCGAACATAATATAATTACGCGGGTATGAACGCGAAAAGTAATTATTTAAATACCTTGGAAACCTGGACTTTTCAACCTGGTTGCACCGGTGGTGGTCGCAAGCAGACTGATATAAATGAATACAATGTCACAGCTCCCTGCCTTCGGGCGATGAATCTTCATCTACCCCCTTATTTTCATTTTCTACTATACATATTAAGCCGTCTACACACAACGCTGATCGTATTTACAGATAGATCTATAGATACATCACGGATAGACTCCTGATTAGTTGCGGGTATCCGTAGGCGGTGTCAGTTGGTAGTATTCTAGGTCAAAAATAAATTAATTTAACGTTTCAATACAATAAAATATTGAAAATAAATATACTTTTATTCATCAATCGATCGATGCACAAACTTTTAGATATTTTTTAGCAGATTTTTAAGAAATAAGTAACACATTTGACTCAAAAATACTATGGTGTCGTAACTCAGTGTTTCATACAAATTTCATAAAAAAGTATCGTTTTGACATTTGGATAAAAGTATTCAATTTGACTAGTTGGAAACTACCGTAGTGCTTACAGCATAAAAAAGTTCCTGCCAAAAGTTCTATAACAATGTTTAAATTTTTTATGAACGTTGCCGAATATTTTTACCACAATTTAATACTAACTCTACTACTTAGAAAAACTACAACTTTACTAAACAAATTCTAGATACTCAGAGGATACTACATTCGGAGCTTGCAATGATAAAAGTATTCAAATGAGATCATTTTAATTTATGCCATCAACTTTTCGATGTCTCGGGCCCGGGTGTAATTTTTTTATAAAATTGTAATAATATTAATTGGATAATATAGTGTATTTCATCATATATACACAGATACATAGCTACTGGGCAATTTTAGACTACTACCGAGTTATATACATAAAAATAAAATCTTTCGCCTGACTCGAAAACCGAACGTTGTAATTTTTAGCATCGCGCTAGCAACTACTCGATCGACGAAAAAACCGAAAAAAATGCGTATGACTTATAGGAAGTAAGGTGTTGTTTTTGAGATAGGGAAATTCATCAAATGACTTCTTTTGCTGAGTGGGTCGACGCGAAGTGTCAGACTCTTACTGATTCAAATCCAACCCGTTCCTTCTCCTCCTTCCAGGCCGCAACCCCGGCAGCATATAACGCCATAATTTATCAACTCATAAGGCCTGAACACAACATCTCATCATTAGACAAATTAATATAACCTAGGCTATTACATTATTGGAATGCGCACCGATCCCGGCCGGAGCCTAAAATAATTTCCTTAACACTTTCGGCTCATGTTATCAATTGTCATTCAAGCCACAGTCCTACGACCACTACCCAAACTTCGTTTTACCTCTGTACGCATTGCGTCCGTTGTCCTTCGCAACTTACTATAAAGTTCTCCAGTTCTGTAGGTTTGATATCATTCAGTGCATCAGCATCTCAGTGACAACAACAAACATGTTCAAATACGTAAGTATTTTGCGTAACTTAGTTTATCAGAACGCTTAAGAAGATATGAATCGTTGTAATGTCTTAGACGTGTTATGTTTACTGTATCGTGAAAAGATAACAAGCAGTTTCAGTTTGAGTTTTTTTTTTTGAGTGTTAAATGAATTATTTTTCTTATAATTCTTTATTCATCTAATATGAGCTGCCTTATCAAGTTTAACTTTAATTTTTGTTTATTCCACAGTTCGTATTCATCTGCATGATGGCGGTGGCTTTCGCTGACCCCAAGCCTGGTGTGCTGTACAGCGCAGCATACACAGCGCCAGTGGCTGCGGCGTACACCGCTCCCGTGGTATCGGCCGCGTACACCGCGCCCCTCGCCTACTCCGCGTACTCCGCACCCATCGCCGCGTACTCCGCCTACCCCTACGCCTCACCCTACGCCGCCTACTACCTGCGCAAGTGAAATGGACGAACACTCTGACTCTACGGATATATTGGACACGATGAACATCGAAATATAACAGGAGAAAATAATAAAGTATTGCTTCGATCACAATTTATGAATTTTCTAATTTCCCTGTCCAAAATACCCTTCAAAGCATTGATACACACAATTATATTCGTATTTCTGATTTTATCATTTATATCGGCTATTAAATATGTCACAAAAATCCCGCTTTCTAAGTTACAATATACATAAATTAATTACTGCCTGTATTTGATACAGTATCAGGCAAATGCCGAAATCGCTAAGCCGTAACATACACTACAATGTAAATTGTGTACGGACCTGAAAGCTACCATCAAATTATATTTGTGTGTACGATGTTCTAATAATCATGTAATATCTAGGTAATTAGACTCTGCAGAACAAGAACTAACTAACCACATTAACGTTTTAATGCTATTTCGTTCAAAATTAGGGTAATTCTCATGAAAATGTTTGCTAATACGATAATGGCTTTTGGACAATGATACACCATTTTTATAAAAGCTTCAAATGTAAACATGACTGGGTAGAATTTTAATCTCATTATGTTGCTTATTGAGATTGATGTAACAAAACGCTAGGTGACATTCGAAATTTGAATAAATTATGTAACTAAAGAAAAGTAATAGTGTCTTTGTACCAACCTGCCTGTTCTTTCAATTAGGTAGCCAATTTGTTTTAGTTTTCTATCTAGTGGCACAACAAAGACTCCATTATCAAAGTTTAAATCTCTGGTAAAATGATTTATTTCAGTAAGCAGTTTCAGTTTAGAAATTGACTGGATTTCCATACAGTTTCTTTTTATTTAATTTGACAATTTTAATTGAAAACTTAAAAGAATTAAACCTTCGTACGTTTTAAGAATTGAAGTTCGCAATTGCAACACTAGCTTTAAATACTGACTGTTGGATGTACAAGAGGACTATGAAATATACACAAAATCCTTCAAATACCCTAAAAGGCGTAGGTGAGGTGTAGCTAAGTGCAGCACCCACTTATCATGTGTTTACATGTACACTATACACCCATACTCAGGGCCACCAGAAACCACGAAAGGTTTTGCAGCAGTCCGTTTCCCAGCTGCTGCATAAAATTTCTATATCAATAGTCTTTAAAATAAAACCGATCACAACAATATAGATATCTACAATGCAGACCCCATTTAATTATATCAAAAAACTAGAATATAGTAAATATGTATTTTTTTCAGGATTTATATTACCTACGTAGTATATATATAAATTAATACGAGTATGGAATGTATGTGTGCACAGTAATAAATTTACCTTTACTAAGTTTAGTTACGCCACGACCGTGTTAGGATTTTCGACCAACATTGGTTTTGGGATTGTATGAAAATTGTCATTGACATTGGGTGAAAATTGTTTTGTCTGCAATATTACTTTATTTATTTATTTATTATAAGGTAGGCTCTCAGCTTATGTATGGTTTAAATATATATATATATATATATATGTATGGTTTAAACACCATATATATTATATATATATATATATATATATATATATATAAATGTATTGGTTATAGGCAGTAAGTAGGTCATAAACATTAGCCAGTTATGAGCTAACCAACATTCTAAAAATTATGCGTTTATACAGTCAAAATATATAGAAACGTACTTTATGAGTACATATAGCTTTTTTTATTCCGTGTTACACATTTCACCAATTTTTTTGTGAGGTTACCATCATCAAATGACTTCACCCAGGGTGGGGCGGGAATTATTATCAGACTCTTACTGACTAAAAACCGTTCTTTCTCCTGGTTTAGGCCCCGGCTGCACTTGCACCCCACCCACTGTAACCCCAGTTGAAAACATTTTACCCCTAAAGTCTATACTATCCTACTGCAGTGGTGCATATATACAAAGTAAATCCACTTTTACCACTCACTGGGTGCCATTTTTATATTAAGTGGACCTGAGGCCCCTTGCTCGGCATACGCATTTGCAATCACTCGATTTATGTTTATATTCTTGATGGTTCATGGTCCTATGTATACATAACTGTGTGTAGGTATACACAGAACCATGCCACCACTACGCACGCAACCTAGGAGTTAAGTACGTAATTCAAGAAAGCATTCCTCGCCATCAAACGAAATAGTTTGGCGAGTTTAGATGTAAGGTGTCACCCCATGTTGAAGTTACAAGAATATAAAAAAAAATTGATGAGGCACAATGCAGGTTTTTTTGGGCCGAGCGGACTCTTGATGGCATTTGCTGTAGTCAATCTCATATTTCTTTTATTTTCTTTTTTCTTTAATAAATCCTTGCCTCACTAGAATTTTCTCCGGTGTGCGGTTACAAACATATAATTTCACATACATATGACACCTACACCCGGTTCAACAATTTGTGGATCACAGAGTTGTTTAGTGCAGTCATTCGGTATTGAACTAAAGCTACAAAATGTACAAAATAATAGTTATAGTAAGTTGCAATCAAACCTGATCTAATTAATCGTCCAGCTTAAACAGGCGCATTGACCTCCACATAGTCGCATGCGCAACTGAACCTAGCATTGTAACAGTGGACACGCACGCGCTGACCTCTGACGCAACAAAAGGAGCGCATCCTGAATAACAATAGGTAAGGATGTCTCATGCACTCATGTGCCAGGAAAAAATCTTGCTTAAAATACGATTTTAGTTAACCCTTTTTTATTATACATTGTTATTATGGTTTCTATTTTTACTTCATTGAGACTTTTTTGTAAGATTTTTACGCAATACTATGTAGTAGCAGTTTTCATAAAATCTATAAAAAAATACTCTTTCAAAAAGTCAAAGTCAAAAATCATTTATTCCAATTAGACCCTTACAGGCAGTTTTGAACGTCAAACAAAATTTTGAAGGTATAGTGTCAGTCTGTCGGTCCTCTCAGTGAAGCTATTTGCTCGTTCCAAAGTGTAGATTCCGATGGAGAAGAACGAGCAAGAAACTCCATCGTTACTCTTTTTTAAATCAGTTTTTGACTTTGAAAAACGTTAAATTTCGAAAAACTCAGCGTAAACGTTTTTTTTCGGCTTGAATAAACACCGTTAATTTACACAATGTAACTAACTTATTGTTACTTACTATTATTTTATGAATTTCCAAATAAAACTCTAGTAGTAGGTACCAAGACGGACGGACTTATTATTGATGAGCAACGTGCGACGTCGCGCACATTTAATTTCAATAAATTTAAAATGTCTCAGACTACTCTGAAAAATATTGCAAGTAGGACTACTCCTACTTAAAATATTTTATATTTTTTATGTGATAGTATGGCAAACGAGCAGACGGATTACCTGTTGACACACGTAAAAACAAACAGTTACGACTACGTTTCCACCATTTTGGGGATATAGGGATTGGTTTTTGGTTTTTTGGATTTTTTTTGCCGGTTTTCTCATCACTCCGGTAGAGCCATCCATTCGGGCCGAAGTATGGCTCTCCCACACTAGATAGTTTCATTATTATTTCAAACTCAGCTAGCCTTACAGGTACCCAATGCGATAACGCAGTAACGCAAAAAGAGTTTTGCATACCGGTAATCGAACCCGAGCCTCCTGGGTGGAAGCCAGGTATCCTAGCCAATAGACCATACGGGACGTGTTCAAACAAATAAAAGCTCTTGTTACTTAAAGATTAATCGCAAAAACGATGTCCGAACAACAAATTCTGATCTACTGATTTAGTTGTTACTGGTTCAGTTTAACATAACCTCATCCACGATGTTTATCTTGAATTCGGAGCAACGTTGCACATGATACGTTAGCAAACCCTCGTACCGTGGTGGAATTTCTTTCGAACTCACTTTAGTATTTAAGCTGTCGTCCGTAGTACAAACGTATCATTCCCTCATCTTGTCCACAACAAGAAACACAAACAAACCCATCAAAATGTGCAAACTGGTAAATTAACTTTTGATTAACAAGCAAAAGGTTTCTTAAATAGCAATTAAATCACATTTGAAAATCAATACTTTGATTAACTTAATACTTTAATGCTATTATTAACTTGAATTACGTATAAAATTTTTATACGATGACCTATATGTTTTAAATTGTTCTCATTAAAATGACCACTATAATTGCACTGTTACAGATCATCCTCGCTGCTCTCTTCGCCGTCGCGGCTGCTAAGCCCGGTATCCACTCAGTGGCCTACTCTGCACCTCTGGTAGCGGCACCAGTGGCAGCCGCCTACACTGCCCCAGTAGCAGCAGCTTATGCTGCCCCAGTGGCTGCCGCTTACACCGCCCCCGTGGCTGCTGCCTACACTGCTCCCGTAGCTGCTGCGTACACTGCCTACCCCAGCCCCTACGCCGCAGCCTACACTGCGTCAGTCGCTGCCTACAATGCCTACTCCGCTCCTCTAGTCGCCGCTGCCTACAAAGCCCCAGTCCTGCTCAAGTGAAAACCTACCTCCAACAAATCTAAGCCTGTAAAAATGTAAATACGAATAAGTAGCAACATGACAATTTAAAATTTACTCCGGATTTTTCTTCCCATCCTTTCAAATATGTGATATACCTACCTAAGTAATTTTTCCCGAAATTTATCAAATCAATCAAATGTATGATAAGGCTCGTTAAAGCTAAATAGTTTCTTAGAATAGTGTTTTAAATAACAATGTTTGCATGCTCCCTAATATACATACATCATGTATTCTAACCGAACACTATCCGGCGAAATAGATCAAAATACCAGATATTGGTCACTACACATCGAGAACAAAAAGTGAATATATTAATAATAATTATTTAGGACGTGTTGCGACATCGCAAACAGATTGAAACAATCGCTATATTATGAGACACCAATAGGTTGTTACATCATATGACGGGGTTGCTTAGAGGGTGTTTACAGTAGGCGACAATGTAAGTGACGTCACAGCTGCCTGTGAAACCATGAGGCGATTCATTATGACGTATCGAATGGACTACTTATTAATATGTTTGTTGGTTAAGTAATATTACGTATGTGTGAAGGAAACATAAAGCCACCTGTACTTAGGTATTGGAAATGCAAATAGAGTGTGTTTTAAAAAAACTGAATAGAATTAAAATATATTTTTTCAAAACTAACCTAACTCATATGAGAAAATCTCTATTGGTTTGAGATCACAACGTACTATCCTTTCGAGGTATTTAAATAGTAACTTTTCGCGTTAATATAATACCGTTTTAGTAATATTTTGTTAACATGAAACTCGAAAGATTAAAAGTTAGTACGACTATGCGTTTTTTAATAGATACTACTCCTAATAAAATAAGGGTATTAGAAATGTCCTCATTATTTCTGATATTTCATCACCTGTCTATGTAGGTGTAACAGTGTATTTGACATGCAAATAACGATCCAATAACAAACAAGTTTGGAAAAACCTACTGATTCATCGACTCTTATTGTTTGAATGATTCCAAACTGTGACAATTGTTTCTGTGACACCAATCATTTGATATGACGCATTGTATGTAACTTATTATTTATTAGTTTCTCTTATTAAACGTAGGGCGATGTTTTATAGCCTATAATACGCCTTCCTCGATAAAAGAGCTATCTAACACAATAATAATCGTGCAATTAGAAATAGTAAATCCGGAGATTAGTCCGTACAAACACACAAACAAACTTGACATCTTTATGATATTATAGTAAGTATACATAGTAAATGCTTTCTTCTCATATATTTCTGCGGTTATTTGTTAACGTACGGAAAATAGAAAACGATCGAATTTCGTGGATAATATTGAGTTTAGAAATGAAGAAACACGTAAATTATGTTAATGAGGTTGCGTATCCATGTATGTAGATAAATACCCCGAGATTAATAAAAAATATATAATATGTAAAGCCTAACATAGATAATATTCTCTATTGCGAAATCAAAAAGGGTTCAATAGGAATACTGCATGGTTTGGGTCCTCATACACCTTGAGTTGATGCCAATTTATAAAATGATTACAGTGGTTGATATTTATTATTAAAAGTATAAGTGTATGATATATGGTGGTACGTGGTATGTTTTTTTTTTCGTGTACTAAATTCACCGGCACACCGATAAAATGGCCCTTAAGGGGCGATGTTCAGCCAGGGTTTTACGAGGTAAACGCGGCTTCGGTCAAAAGCAAGAGAAGAAATGGGGGAGGTTTAGTGAGTAAGAGCAAACACTTACTGGAACTCTTACTGGAACTTAAATGACTTCTCTCGCCAAGTTTGAGGCGAGAGGAAGTGTCAGACTCTTAATGACTAAAAACCCCTAACCCCCAAACCGCCCCGTTCTTTCTCCTGCTTTAGGCCAAGGCCGCGGTATCTTATTGCGCTAGCCCCGTAACCCCGGCTGTTGTGACCTATGATAATGGTGATAGTTGCGAGTGAGAAGTTATTGACTTTTTTTTCACACAAAAAAGAAACGCCAATAGGTAAATTATTGGTATAAAACTGTGCTATAAATGCACTGTACAAATAACATTAAAAACTTTTTCCTCTAAGTCTCGTCTTCATAGGAAGTGAACCTTGACTGCAGCACATATCAACCTTACATACCATGACAGTATTAAATATAGTATGAATAAAATCAAGTTCAAGGTTACGTCAAGTTAGGCTAGCTTCGGCCTTGGCGGTGGCACCTGATTTAGTAGTTGTGTCCGGGCGTACGCGCGTCGCTTGCGCACATAGAATGTTCTACACGCATGCCGAGAGATCCTTGCGGCTTGATTAGAGCGGACCGAAGCTACTGCCAAAATACAGCGTGTTCTTTTTTGGGGAGGGCCAATTTCAGTTGTCTAATTTGAACTTAAAGTTTATTTTATACCTTATTTATTATTAGTAGAAAATTGCAGATTTTACAAAATGCAGATTTCTTATCCTTAGCCTTACCTTCTTATCCTACTAAGGATAAGAAATCTGCATTTTGAACTGTAACTAATTTCATATACTCTTTTTATGTCGTTCCTATTCAGAACGCTACGTACGTAGGTTTTATAAAAGTACGGAGAACTAAAGTACGGTTTAAATACTTGACAAATACAAAGGCTACTCTTGTTCCTCTCTCTCTTGATCTACATAATATTTACCTAATCAAGTGACTTTATATAATGAATTCAAATAAAGGGAAGAAATTTAAAAGTCTGCATTCGATCTGAAGCCATTTTACATAGATGATTCTATTTCCTTAGTGATGCGCTGAAAGCAATTATATTTCAATTCAACCAAGAAAATTTAGGAAATGATCTGCACTCTTAAAGGTCTGTGTGTCTTTAAGCAAGAATCTCTAGCTAATCTTAAATTTTTCTTGGTAAATTCTTATTCCTTTGCAATCAAAAATTTGAATCGAAAACAGTAACATTTAAATTTTTACGAAACGATTCCTTTACCTATTAAATATTTGACAAATTGCGTAATCCTATCCTAATCCTAAAACCTTCTTATCCTATTCTAGAAACCAAATCGAAGACCGACAGAACAGCATTAAATAAACAATTAATTCGAACGCCTTAAATAAAAACATCAACCTGTGTATATTTTTAATCAAACTGCAGTCAAAATATTCACGTCACGCGTGGGTCCCGATGGCGCACGTCTCGCCAAGGTGCGCGAGCGCCGAGCCTCTGCCAACACAATGAGGCCATCTTAGACTCCTTATAAATTAGCCAGGATGGCACACCATTAGTCAGTAGTTCTCGGACTTAGATACCAACAGTCAACATGTTCAAATTCGTAAGTCCTTTTTTTTATTTTTATTAAGAATTATCTTTAACTGGTAACGATTATTCTTTCCTTTTATTATTTATTAGGAAAAGAGGTTATCTTGTAGCTGTCTGTAAAGCATAGTTACATTATGATATACTTGATATAAACTACGTAAAGTTAAAGTGAATATAAGCTATAAAAACGAATGCGTCTTACCATCAACGATTGCATCACTACTTACTACTTACACTAGTTTATATAATTAAAAAAAAACAATATTTCATGTTTAATATAGCTACTTTAAAATGTAACAGTAAACTAGATACAATCTGAACTCCCGGATTCTATAGAGTGGTGTTGTACATTTCAGTAGCAGTAGGAAATCTGGATCACACCGATGCCTTGATACTTAGACAACATAGTTTCTATTAAAATGGGATATAAACGAGAAAAATCTGCCGTAGCTCTTCAAAAAGACAATCAATGATAATTATTCCATTTTTTAACAACTGTTTCTTTCATCCACAGCTGATTTTCGTCGCTCTCCTGGCTTTCGCCTCAGCGAAGCCGTTGGTACTGAGCTACACGGCTCCAGTGGCCGCGGCGTACACGGCGCCTGTAGCCGCTGCCTACACAGCACCTGTAGCCTACTCCGCCTACAGTGCCTACTCGCCTGTCGCCTACTCCGCCTATACCTACGCTGCCCCATACTCTTACTACATCTGAACGGATAGACCATAAAATACGGACCTTATTTATTTACTATTGATCTTCAAACCATGACATTTTAATTTTAATATAGTTATTATTAAAATACAGTCATCATACCTCCGATTTCATCTTTTATTTTTGAACCACATTAGCATTTACATACTACATTAGTCTAAATACAACATTTCTTCTTCTCTCTTCTCAGTCGTGCACTCTTGACACAGTGGTCGTGGTCATGTGTCGGTCGAATCTTACGCCACCGCCTCTCTTGAGATGCGACGCCATGAACTTCAATGTTTGGCAGCTTGAGAGTTTTCGTTGACGCTGCAATGCGTCACCGATTTGATGAGGTCTGTCACTGTGTTGGAGAGCGTCCACGTGATCTTTTGCTCTCAACTTTCCCTTGCACTACCAGTCGCTCCATTGAGTCCTTATTACGGCTGATATGCCCGAAGAACTTGAGAATTCGTATTTGCACAGACGGCGCATTTGCAAATACCACACACAGTCCTATAAAAGTAGAATCTTAGCTAACATGCTTCACGGTTATATTAACCTCATGAGGCAATGTTATAAACAAAAACTGTGTATAAAATGACAAATATGACTCAGCTATAGAATCTGATTCTCTCGAGCCAAAAGTGCAATGAATCGTGTAATATTAGTTGCTACACAATAATGACGTCACGTCCATACGTTATCTCCCGTCGATGCATTTTCCTAATGATGTGTACCCGAGCCTTATAAAAGGGCTGTTTACCCGTAGCCACGACACTTCCACTTACATAAGCATAAAATTACGATGACTCCCTCGCACCTCTCATTCACCTCGCCACATGCAACCACTGACCTATAATCCAAAAGGTCATTAGAAAAAGGTAATTTACATTTTTTAAACTGTAATTTAATGCAAACGTCACTGAATATAAAGGTATATAATTATGATCTTTGAGAAGAGTGAATTGGTAGTGCATAATTTACTGGTCTAGAATTTTTTTTATACTTTCGTTTTTGTATTTTACGTATGAATTGAAAAGATTATCGTATTATATTAGGGATTGGGCCTCCGGTAACCTCATTCGGCGGCGAAACACACTGTTGCGGTTGTTTCACGCCGGTTTTCCCGTGGGCCGTGGTGTCACTCCGATCGAGCATGGCTCTCCCACACTTAATAATAAAAACAGTGTACAGTCTGTTCTTTGCCCACCTGACAAAGATATCATAAGAACACATCACCTTTCACCTTTCATGCTTCCTGCAGTGATCCGTTTACAAACAATATGAATGTTTTAGATATGGATAAGTTCTGGACCAGATTAACCAATGAGAAGAGTAGGCCCCGGGCTGGATTAAGTAAGAATTAAATGAATTGTTAAAATACATCAAAAAAACATGGTCAATCTAAATTGAATTTTAACGTAACCATATAAGGCACAAAATAAGAAACGCTATTTTTAATTTAGAGTGTTTCTACTGGCTACTTATCAACCGGATTTCGAGTCTTTTGTTTTGGTGTTTTCTTAATAAGTTTTGAGAACGAAGAAATGATTTTACATTACTGTTAATGCGTTTGATGACCTATCCTCAGAGACGATGCTTGCTAAAGGTGGGTGGACATGGAGATATGCATTCTATTCATTTCAGTAGCGACACTTCTATACTAATATTATAAAGAGGTGAAATATGTAAGTTACAAACTTGTTTTAGAACCGCTGGTCGGATTTCCAAAACTCTTTCACTGATAGATAGATGCAATTAATGTGCCTGACATTACACAGGCAATAAATTATGCTTGATTAGCGTATTTGAGCTATCGCTTTAAATGGCTGCTGTTTTTAAAATCGCGGGATGCATTACTTTTATACGCGTGCGAATCCGCGGGCAAAAGCTAGTAATTTTTATATATATATTATAAAATCTGTAGAGTTAGTTTGTTTGAACGCGCTAATCTCCGACACTACTACTTAAAGCGGAACAATTTTATTGTGTTTGTTTTTCCATTGACCGGAGAGAGCTATAGACTATAAAACATCACGCTGCAATCTGGGGAGGAGCCGAGCAGCGGGTGAAACCACGCCAGAGTACCTAGTAGAAATATATACAAAATTGTATCTGTCAGATACCGTAACATCTTAGTGACAAATTCAAATATTTGTACATTATAATGAGGCTGTAATAAATTCTTAGGCTTTTGTGTGTCTCGCCCGAGTCACTGCACGGCAAGACAATAGCTAAAACAATTTCGGAACGTGTATATCTGCCTTAACACCTCTCCGCTACGATTATGTATTCTTTTGTTTACTTAAAAACCATTCAGTACGACCTTGCCAATACTATGAAAGTATATTATCTTCCATACAAATATTCATTTGTTTCCAAGTTTGTCTTCAAACTTGGCCAAATATATAAGGCTGGACATTTTTCTTGTCAGTCAGTGTTAATTGAGAAGTGTCAAACTGTACAAGTGAAATTAATATTCAAAAAAAATATTTCGAAATGTCCAAGTCTAGTTTGGTAAGTTTAATGTTTTGGTTGCTTAGGTTATTGTGTTTATTATTTTGTGCGTTTTATTTGGATTTTTTGTATAAGAATAAGCATGTGGCATGTATTAGACTCAGCCTAAATAAAAAGTCTGTGATACAGTGAACGATACACGTGACTGCCAAAAACCGCCATTACTTCATCCCACGTTTAGTTACTTCTTAATAATACAGATATTTTATTTTAATTTTAACTTCTTTAAAACTTCTTAAAAGCGGTTTAATTTGTAACTATGTTAAAAAATATAGAGTATATATAGCATATATACATACCATTTCCATATATATAATTACAGGTCTATTTTTGAATGCATACAAGGAGATCAAACTTTAGAAGTAAAAAAAACATTTTCCGTTTCAGATCGCAGTTTTGGCGCTCATCGCAACCGTGTCAGCCAAGCCATACATATACTATGGACCATTGGCATCATCTAGCTCATACTTAGATTTGTACAACCCTGCCGTAGCTTCATTGGGATCCTACTCTAGTTATCCTGCAGCATATTCACTAGCGTACACTAATACGTACCCAGCAAACTATTTATCGCCTCTATCTGGATCGGCCTCTGCGCAGCTATCCCTACCTGGTGTGTACGGATCATCGTATGTTGTGGAAGAACAAGCGTCAGCCCTACCTTTAGTCAACCCTGCCCCCGTCGCTCCTGCTGTTTCAGCAGCAGCTGTCCCATCTTCAGTCTACGGATGGCCCCTCTACAGTTACTACTACAAGCGATAGGTTTTTTAAACATCATGTATTTCTATTTAAAGACTCATGCATGACTGACATGGACTTCTGATAAAGTATAGGATGTTTCTTTTTTGTTGTTGTTATATTAATACAAATGTGATTGTTTACTTTTAATTTTTATTAAAATTAAATGAATTGAAATATTATTTTCGACTTATACAATTTTATTTTTCATAAGAAATTACACAAAGTTTACTTCAAAAGAGATACAAAGTACCAACTTGTTATTAAATAATACATTATTTAGGTTTAGATTAAAGTGTACATAATTCCTAAGTTTACTTTTAAATATATTTTACAACTGTCCTGAGATAATATCGTTATCTGTCCATAATAACTTCAAATATACGAAGGAAACAAACATATTTTATTTTCAAACTATAATCGCTTTGGGTATTAACAACCTCATCTAACTACATTCGAAATTGCATATTGCTACCGAGTCCGATAAATTACATATTTGCACGTTTTGATATTGCATAGCTTTCTGATACGTAATCATGCAATGACTTAGATGTATAATAAAGAGTTCTTTATACTCTTTTTTGATACAGATAATTTTCTTTCAATTTCTATATTAATCGCCCAATAGCTCCACCTCCCCCATCCCTACCCAATCCTTAAATATCTGAAACCCTTATCCCCAAAAGGCCGGTAACGCACTCGTAACTTCTTTGGTGTTTCGGGTGTTCATAGGCGGCGCTGATTGCTTACCATCAGGTAACCCGGCTGCTCGTTTGCCGACCCTTACCATTAGGTATTGTACATATATATATAATTCGTAACTTAATGTTTTACTTTAGATAATAACAAGATGATTTTTCGCCAGAAAAACTTTTTAGTTATTGAAAAAACTATGATGACTTTAAAGAAAGAATAAAAATTAATAACTAAAGAGCTTTAATGTCTGTTTAAGACAATAAAGTTGTTAAATTGTTGTTAAATATCTTCGGAAAAACCTATTCTTAACTTTTTAATGTAAATATTAGCATTTCAAAAGATGTGTTTCGATATTTCCTAATTTACAAAGACATGTATGAATTTAAACTAGTTATAGAGTAGTCAACAGTGATTCATTTGTATGGTGATAATAAATATTATCAAATATTTTCATAGTTAGAAAATACTCAGAAAATATGTAAATAAAAAATACTATTGTATTCCGAACCTGGAACTAATAAACTACTAGTGAGATTTCAACATGGGAAACGTTAAATTTGATATATTACCTATGTATAATAAAACTTAGCACTCCTGCGCAATATATCGAGGGGTTAAAAAAATAATAATATTAGTTTTCAATACAGACTCAATATATCGACCCTTTAACTGTTCGGTAAAAGAATAATTAGCAAATTTTCTTAAGTAAGCCTAAAAGGCTTTGATAATTATGTTGTGTAATTGTACCAAGTTTCATTGAAACCAGTTTAATAGTTTGGATTTTTTGGATAAAAATTTGGATAAAAATCCGTTCTTTTTAAAAGCTATTAAATATCTATAAGCACGAAAGCACTCTTCCGTCCTCCTCCTTTAGTTTAGTTTAGTGTGAGCAACACAAATTGTTTTTTTTAAAAAAGGTATTTATATTGTTAAATTAACACAGAACAAGGAGTCTTTTTTTTGAACTGAAAAAAGTATTGTTGTTTTCTTCTTATCGTAGGATTTTCAGGAAGTTCTCCTTTTAAATTCCCGGGATTAAACTATCCTATGTTCTTACTGGAGTTTCAAACTATGTCTGTACTAAATTTTCAATTATTTAGGTGTGGAAGAAAGATTAACAGATAGAGTTACTTTCACATTTATAATATTGTTTTGAAAATCACATCACATCGCTTCTGTGTCTGCTTGCGACCACGACCTGTGCAACCAGGTCGAAACGTCAAGCCTACCAATGTATTTAAATAATTATTTTTAGCGTTATACCCAGACGCGTATATTACGCGTTTATCCTTTGTCAAATACACACATCACACCCAGACCCAAAACCCACACAGAAAGATCACACACATAATACCACAGAAGTTACGAATACCTCTTATAACGATATGTGAACCTTATTGTTGCTAAATGATCATTTATCTAATATTATTTATGCAAATATAATATTTATAAACATTGCAACTATGCACAAAACAACTTCATTCTATAAAACTGGATCTTGTAGGGTTTGAATAGTCAATTACCTGATGGCCTAGGCAATAATTATTTTCTACCTACATTATATACATTGTGACTTGTAAATTCTCTGACGGTGCTAATAACTAAGAGCGCGGTAAAACTTAGTATGACCATGTTTAGTGTCAGATGAGAAAATCTAAAAATAACAATATTTTACTAGTCGAAGACAATGAGTAAAATGGTGTAGATAGGTTACCAAAACAAAGTTCGGTTTCCAAAAAAGATACACTGATACACACATGAACAATTCATATGTTTAGACGTCAAAGTGAGATGGCATGATTCAATAATCGCGAGTGAAAAAGAGACAAATATGAAAAAAGTGTCGCTAATTAGCCACATTTTAATGTCATTTGCTGAGCGCTTGTAACCTATCTCCACCTTTTTACTTCTAATATCATTGGTCGAAGGTATATAATATGTTAAGTTGGTGTAATATGTATATTGGGATAATCGAATGACTCGTCTCGCCCAGGGTGATGCGAGAGGGAGTGTCAGACTCTTACTGACTAGGAAACCCCGTTCCTTCTCCTGCTCTAGACTGAGCCCGCCGTACCTTATTGTGCTTGACCCGCAACCCCGGCTGATATCTTTGAAACTGCTTTGAAGAAGTGACTCTATAATGTAATGCAATAAGGAATGCCGGTCCCCTATTTCAGAAAACTAAAATACTCACTATTTTTTCCCTATACATTATTGAAATTGGTCTCTTCGTAAGAAAACACCCACAATTATTCGAAAAAGTGTATTGAGCAAAAGAAATCCTAGTAAAGTTGTTGTACCACAATGCAGAACCACTGTGTACCACAGAAATTGTATGTTTATGATTTTTTAAAATCTATAGTAAAATACCCCAAGTATTTTATTACAGATTTTTAAACACATCACATCACACTTAGTCAAATCAGAGAACTTCCATTGAGATTGTTTAAAGTTAATATAAAGCAATAGTTACGTCCTGATTTTTTTAATTATGACAATATTAAAAAAGTTCATTACAGATCGATAACCGACCTTGTTAAGGCGAAAATAACCCTAGAATTGAAGTTATCGCCATGTGTAATTAGCTAGTTCATGTTCACGCCCATTACTAACATAATGTATTAGTATCTAGTCAGATGACAAAATATTACATAAGAACACATTAAACGGGGTGTTCTTATTGAAATGGCATTCGAGGGGACGACACGAACAGGCACAAATACCTGACACTGACATTGAGCTCACGTAACCCCTGCAGCCTGAAACTGAACCAAATGTTTTGCAAATACCTATGTTTGTCTAATGTTACTGAACAATTTGGTAAACAAAAAGACAGAATTTGAATCAATATAAGAATATGACGAATTTTGTTATCTTTAGATATTAAGTATAGTTGTATTGCTGTATTACAAGGTGTATCTATTACATTGATTTACTTATGGCTTCGCCCTCGTGGTATGTTTTTAAAAAGTAGCCTATGTCCTATTCCGAAATGTATATCCACATTTGATTCTGATCTGACCAACCGTTTTTGCGTGATTGAGTAATAAACATCCAAACATTTATAATCTTAAAACTTTCGCATTCATAATATTAGTAGGTAAGATAAGATAGCGATTTGTGCCAACGAATAGAATCAATAATACTATGTATAAAACCTAACAATAATCGATGTAATACAAAATGATAATAATACTGTGATAGTAAATCGTAAATGTCATTGTCATCGGGATTAGGCTCAACAAAAAAAAAACAGATATTTGGTTATGTGACATATTTGACAGCTGTCAAACAGTGAAGCTTCCGCGCTCGCGCAACCTTAGTGTAGATACGAGTACGTGGGCAGCATACACATTGAAGCAATAAAAAATGAAACGAAAACATTTGCGACAAAAACTTATATTAAAACATGTTCAAACGTTTTGGGATCAGAGTCATTGAGCAAGCCAAAGTATTGTACTATTGTTTGGTTTATCAGCGGACGTAGTACGCTGAGTAGCCGTATGGGTACGCAGCATAAGGAGCAGAGTAGGCAGCGGCGACCGGGGCGTAGGCGTACGGGTAGGCAGCGGCAGCAGGGTAGGCCGCCAGCACCTGGGGCTCAGGTTTGGGGTTGGGGTTGGCGAAAGCCACGGCCAACACGGCGAAGAGGGCGAACTGTAAACATTATGAACTCGGTTAAAAATTATTCACAACACAATCAATGAGACAACATAAAATAATTTGTATAGTGGTTTACCTATTTCATGAGTTCCCATTAAAAAATATTCAAAAATCTATACATCGGATTTTTGATAAAACATAAAAATAAATCAGATTGATTTTCTTTGAAATTCATTGTTAAAGTTTAATTTTAGAAATAAAAATAAATACCTATATTTTTTATTTAATAAAATAGCAATAATTTGACAATCAGAACTGACAAGAACAAGATGAAGTAAAAATATAATGGTCGTTGGTAACTACGTATTTGGAGAAATCAAAAATTAAAGCAAACATTTCTCCAAATTGGTCGGATAATATGGAGGTATATTATAGCAAAATTTCCTCCGGTCAACAGCCGAAGTCATGTGTAAACGATATAAAGAAACAAACGACTTTGTCCCTTGTTACCGGGATATCTTTCGCTAACAAGCTAAACGATACTAAAACATTTACCCCAATTGTATGCATATAATACTTGCGCGACCTTTCATTATCTTATTTCACGATAATGTTTATATCTCAGCAAAATGAAGAAGAACTTTTCGTTGAAGATTTTCGAATTTGGAATTCAGAGTTCTTGTAATTTTCAATAGAAATAATATTTTAAATTTGTGTTACTGTCAGAAAAAATATACAATATTGTGTCGTGAATATTTTATTTTAATGAAAATTCTTTGATTGATTTGCGCCTGAAGTTAATGATAAATTAGACTCAAACATTACATATTCAGGGACTGATCGATATAAATAAGTAAATCCCTTTGCAGATGTACTTCTTTAATCGCTAATTATAATATAAGTTTTACAATAATTGAGTGTGTTTTCGTCGCGACTATTAGAATGGCAGTGGCCGGAAGGCGCGCAGCTCGAACCTCTCGCTCGCGCTACGGATGCGTTCCATACACGACGAAGAATGATGCGTTCCGGCGTAGACATCCTCCGGCCCTTGAAAGTTTAACTTTCAACTTCTTGTGGTAGCCGAACGACATTGTGGATCGCTCGGCGAATAGTGCCTCTGGCGGTGTAAATGTCAACCACTCGACACACGTTGTCTGGTCCCTGGTGCAGACGTGAAATGCGGCCAAGGCGCCAGCGTTGCGGTGGTGAAAAATCTTCTTTAATTACTACCATATCCCCGACCTTAGGATTGGCTTGAGGAGTCGTCCATTTAGTTCTCAATTGCAATTCCGCCAAGAATTCCTTTCGCCATCGCTCCCAGAATTCATCACGAATTTTTGTTATTGCGTGGTATTTCGGTCTGCCGTCGTCTGCTGGATGCGAGGGCAATGACACCAGAGGCCGTCCAATGAGGAAGTGCCCTGGGGTGAGGGGAGTTAGGTCAAAAGGATCGGACGAGATAGGAGAAAGAGGACGGGAGTTTAAGATAGCTTCGATTTGTGAAAATAGCGTAGTCAATTCTTCAAAAGTAAATGATTGATTACCAACAATCCTAACTAAATGATATTTTGCTGCCTTAACACCCGCCTCCCATATACCTCCGAAATGAGGAGAATAAGCTGGACTAAAAACGAAATCTATACCTTCAGAGGTAGCAAAATCTGTGACAGACTCACGACTGGAGCGCAAAATTTTACCAAGTTCATTATTTGCTCCTATAAAATTGGTACCGTTATCGCAATATAAAACTTTAGGTTTACCTCGACGCGCGATGAAACGACGCAAACACAATATAAAAGCATCTGTAGTGAGATCGCTCACTACCTCCAAGTGGACAGCTCTAGTGTTCAAGCACACAAATAAGCAAAGGTAACATTTTGTTTTACGATTACCTCTCCCCCTTTTACTTGATATAAGAAAAGGGCCTGCAAAGTCAGTGCCACTTGAAAAGAAGGGGAAGGTTGCTTCTGTCCTTACTGCGGGTAAATTTCCCATAATAGGTTGAATAGTCTTACCGCGATAGCGAGCACATATTACACAAGATTTTGCGACCTTGCGCGCCAACTGCCTACCTCCGATAGGCCAATAAGAGTCACGTATCGAGGACAGCAGCAGCTGAGGACCTGCGTGAAATAGCCGGCGATGTTCATGTTGCAATAACAAGGATGTAAAGGTATGCCTGCCATCTAAAATAACAGGATGTTTCTTATTATATTCATAGGAGGAGTTCTCCAATCGACCGCCTACTCTCAACAAGCCTTCTGTATCAATAAATGGATTTAACTGTAATAACTTCGATTTTTTATTTAAATGTTGACCAGAAGATAGTGCCTTTATTTCAGTTGTAAAACATTCACCTTGACTAAACTTAATAAGTAGATTTAAAGCCTTGTTTATTTCTACTGTTTGCAACGTACCAGTGCATTTGTTATGTTTATTATTATCACTACTTAAATCTGTACTAAAATGTAAAGTATCTGTATCTGGTGACCAATTCAAACCCAGAACAGACGATTCTTTATTTAATTCTAAAACTGAAGTTGTAGTGTCATTCTGAAATGCTTCAGGACAATTAGTTCTAATTTTATGTAGCGGAAAACCAGCTGAATTTAATACATTTTCTACACTACTATAAATATGCTTTATAGAATCCTTAGATTCGGCGCCTGTAGTCAGGTCGTCGATGTATACATCATGCTCTAAGATGTTAGATATGGTAGTGTCAGGACACTCACGAGCCAATTGAAGAATACATCTCGTGCTTAAGTAGGGCGCTGAGGCCGTGCCATAAGTAACGGTATTTAATTGGAGTACCTTAATTGGCCGTGGATGTCCTGACACAGAACCTGATCCTGCTTCATCATCCCTCCACAATATGAGCTGCAGATGGCGCTGACTGGGATCAATCTCAATTTGTCTGTACATCTTTTGAATGTCTCCAGTAATTACATATCTAAAGCATCGAAAACGAATTAGTATTGAAGTTAAATCATCTTGTAACACAGGTCCAATAAGCTGAATATCATTTAAAGATTTACCAGAAGTGGTTTTGGCTGAGGCATCAAAAACCACTCTGAGTTTTGTAGTTTCACTTTTTTCCTTTAAAACAGCATGATGTGGCAAATAATAACCAAAACTAGGTCTCTGTATTTCAGTTAAATGACCCAAGTCACGATACTCTTTAATAAAATTAAAATATTGTTCTTTTAGATTAGGATTTTTATTTAATTTATTCTCTAAAGATAAAAAACGCTTTTTGGCTAAATAAAAAGAATCTCCAAGAGCTTCTTCAGGAATTTCCTTCAGAGGCATCTTTACTGAAAATCTACCATTACTAAGGCGTTTGACATTTTCTTGAAAATGGGACTCGCACAACCTTTCTTCAGGTGTGCCAATATTAATCTTTAAATTTAATTCTTCAATTTCCCAAAATTTCTGTAAATTATCATTAATATTATGAGTATAATTACAAATAACATGGCCAGGTTTATAAATACCCACTGGCCCACTTACAAGCCAACCTAACTGTGATTCCTGAAGAACTGGTCTACCTACACCTAGAGTTATACGCTTGAACCCTACTAAATCCCAAAATATGTCAGCGCCCAACAGTAAATCAACTTCTGCGGGACAATAAAAATATGGGTCTGCAAGCTCAATATTGGGAGGTAAGTCTAGTTCTAGAATATTAACAGGAGAATTAGGCAAAGTACCTGTTACCTTAGGGACTACTAGACATGTTATCATAGTACTAAAATTTTTATTCCTTGATTCTATCCCTAAGGTGACACGTTCAGATATACTAAATGCAACATTATTAATGCCCGAGACACGGAGCGGTTCAATATTGTGAACAGGTAAGTTTAATTTTCTTTTCAGATTATCAGTCACAAAGGACGATTGGCTACCACTGTCCAACAACGCGCGAACAGGGTAAGTTTCATTATTAATCATATTTTTTACTGATACAACAGCAGTACACAGCAATACTTGACTACTATTAGAGATGCCAGACAGTGTAACTGGAGGCAGTGTCTGTGACTGTGAAGCAACTGTAGAATTAATATTTTCTAAGTGCTTATCATTTTTATTTAAATGCAACAAAGTATTATGACTATATTTACAATGACGACACATGGATTTCAGACGACAATTCTGAAAGTTATGACCTTCACGTAAACAATTATGACATACTTTTAATCGTTTAACTTCCGTTACCCTATGGGGAACATCCATATCTTTAAATTTTGGACAATCATAAATGCGATGTCCTTGTTTATTGCAACATAAACACACAAAGTCACATACAGTCTCACCTGATGCTACAGGACTCGAAATCTTTAAGTTATCAAATGATTTATTATTTTTTGAAACTGAATTATTATTATTCCAAAATTTTTTGTTATGATTATTTGAGTTAGAATTACTCGAACTTTCACTATGATTTGTTGTACGAGATACAGCATTCTCTAAAACATCAGCACGGTTACGGATAAACGTATAAAATTGATCTAAAGTTGGATTGTCAGAACAATTACTTAAATATTCCTCCCATTTCATATTTGTAGTGGCATCTAATTTCATAGTTATGATGAATATAATGTGGACATCCCAATATTCTGTGGGTATACCAAGGGCCTTAAGCGCTCTCATATTTTTATTAACATGATCCAATAAGTTCCGCAATGCTTTATGTGATTCTGTTGTGATGGGATTGATTAAATGTAATGATTTTAAATGACTATTAATGAGAACTCTCTTATTATCATACCTAGCACACAATAAATCCCATGCAATCTTATAATTTATTGATGTAAACTCTAATGACTTTATAACCTCACTAGCACTGCCCTCCAGTGAAGCCCGCAGGTAGTGAAACTTATTGATATCCTGTATTGATGCATTCTCATGAATTAAAGACAAATAAGTATCTCTAAACTCAAGCCACTTCAAATATGAGCCATCAAACACAGGCAATTTAATGGTTGGTAACTTAACTGAACTTTCATTAGATTGTGAGGGTAATTGTGATTTGACATTAACCGGATTTAACTTTTCTAAAATATCTTGTAAGGTTGAAATTGCTGTAATGAACTGATTCTCTATTGTAGATCTAGTATTTATCTGTTCTTGTATTTCAGATTCATCACAAAGTAATTCTATTTTGTCTTGAAAGGTCTCAAAATCTTTATATAAGGTTTCACACTTTTTTAAATGTAATTTAATTTCAATAACTTGTGCATTTGATAAACTAGAGAAATCCACTAACTTGAGAGTGTTTATGTATTGTGTTTGCGTCGTCAAACGACCTCTTATATTTCCACGTTGCCTAACCAATGTACTTAGTTCAGTACTTTTAGAAGTAGACATCTTTAAATTTAATCACTCACAACAAATATTAACAAAGAAATATAATGAACTAGGTAAATAAATTGTGCATCTAACCCAATTATTGTTCCTTACTCCAGTCGCAGTGTGTAGCACAGGAAAGTCACCGCCTTATTGCAGACTGCACGGCGTCCCAGTAGTGCTCAAACCTGGCGCGGCGTAGATGGATACTACATGCAGCACAGGCGCACTTCTCTCATGCAATGCAAAACGGGCTGGATATTTATGCCCACAGCCGCGCCAAGCATACGAATCTGGAAACGTTCGGCAAATCTTATGAAGCAAAGCTAAGCAAAGCAAGCTAGAAAATGGTGCAAATAAGGACGGCTAAAATTTACAGTGAAAACAAAGAAACCCCCATGTGCATAATATGCAAGAAGTAGGCAAACCCATGCCGCGTGTCACACACACCAGAAAATAAGAATGCTCAGCCGAGTGGCATGAAAAATAAATGTAGGAAGAACGGGCGGCAGGGTATCAAGGCAGCAAAATATTAGTTTTAACTAGGTACTAGTGCCTATCACAGTTAAGGCTTAAATTATCGACTTGAAAGTACCCAAGTTAGGCCATATATTAAAATTTTAATAAGAAAAAAATTACTTGAAAATGACCAACCTTTCTAATCATGACGAACTAAAATGAAATTTAATTTTATATAGAAACATACAAATGGCGGACGACGAATTTTTAGAAAATTAAAAAATGAATTGACTACATTACTTTCACCCGATAGCGGACAGTTGGAAAAGAAAGGAGGAGGAAAAACGAGCACTTCCCATGGTGGCTAGGTATCCTTACTAGCAGCTCGCAGGTGGACTTGTCTTCTTTCCAAATAATATATGTATAGTCGTAGTCGTCGTTTGTTTTAGGCGTTCGCGTTGGCCGCCATGTTGCGCTGACACCAAACTCCTTTTGGTTTTTGTAGTTTATCCGAAGATTGCAGTTATTCTTCTTTTTGCACGGTCGCCAGATGATCGATATAAATAAGTAAATCCCTTTGCAGATGTACTTCTTTAATCGCTAATTATAATATAAGTTTTACAATAATTGAGTGTGTTTTCGTCGCGACTATTAGAATGGCAGTGGCCGGAAGGCGCGCAGCTCGAACCTCTCGCTCGCGCTACGGATGCGTTCCATACACGACGAAGAATGATGCGTTCCGGCGTAGACAGGGACTCATTCCGTAAATTTAAAAATGGAATATTTAAACATGTACACTGCGCCTAATTATACATTTTAAATAGTATGTTAAAAAATAAATAATAAATGTAATATTAATTTAATCATTGAAAATAAAAATGATCGTCAACTTACCAGTCTGAAGAACATGGTTGTAGAGTTACTTGGGATTGCTGTCTCAAGTGATACTGATGGTCTCTCGGTCCTGGCTTATATACAGATTCAAACGACCACGCCCCAATCAGCAGTCTTGTCGTTCTAAGATAAAAAACTGTCCTTGATCTTCAGTGTAATGAATGAATCTATGTACGAGTACCTACCAGATCCATATACATGATGTACATTAACATCCGCGTTGACTAGTATCGTCTTAACTAGTATGTAATAGAGCATTGATTACAAAATAACTTTGTCCACTATTCATGAATACTGCAGTTATAATTTCCAGTTATTTAAAACAATCCTTATTTAAATTTTAATAGGCTGTATAATTGGATCATGCGACAACTACGTGAATTGTTTATACTTCAGCTTGGTTGTTTAGTTGCATCTGAGTTGCCTAGGAGGATGGTTGATTGACTAACTGGTTAATAATAGGTATTTTCAATAGTAGGTATGTAAATACACAAATTTTATAATAGATTATAATAATATGTTAAATATGTACTTTTGTATGTAACATTAAAAAGGACATTGTTTTTTTCTATGTAATTTTGACAATCCAAAGTACCTATGTAAGAATATAGTATGATTAGTGTGATTATTTGCTATCCATTGACAGCCGAGGTTAAAGATGCAATTGCAATAATGTTCCCTGGCCCTGAGCGGAGCAGGAGATAGAACGGGGTGGTATTTAGTCAGTAAGACGTGGACATCTACAACATCGGAGAAGTTACAAGTGCGTTACTCTCCTTTTGGGGATTAGGGTTCCGGAGATCTAGGGATTGGGGCAGAGGAAGGAGGATTGGGTCTCTAGTAACCCCGCTCACAAAATCACAAACAACGCTATGGTTGTTTCACGCCGGTTTTTTGTGTCACCGTGGTATAACGCCGGTCGAGCGATCTAGTCGTGCCGATGCATGGCTCTTCCACACAGATCAGATGCTAGTAAGCAATTGGCGTCACAAGTGCTTTGCCTTTAGAGATTTGGGGATTCAATGAATAGGGATGAGGTATGATGTCCTTATGTCCAAGTTATTTTTTATTAACATAAGGACATGGCCAAGGCCATTCCATTTATGATATTTAATATTTCACTAGCTATAATAACATAAGTCTCATTGTTACAAGTCGTAAATAAGGCGAAAGTGATACTTAAACGTATACATTTTAATCTTCGAATGGTTCGGCCGGTGAGTACAATATAACATCCTGTTTTCTCGACTTACTTAATGATTAAGGTGTTATGATATGCTGAGCAAAGACCTCTTCTCACACAGAGAAGGTTTAAGCTTTAATCAGCACGCTTGTTCAAGGCGAATTGGCGATTATAAACTTGTAATTAATAAAAATTCAGTCCAGGTTTCCTAGCGATGTTTTCCTTCACCGTTTGTCAGTCGTTTCTAAATAAAATAATCTTAGATCGTCTAAGTACATATTACTCGAAAAAGTGACATTGGTACTGGCTAGGTTTGGCATCTGCACTAATTTGCATAAAAAGCGGTGATCTCAACCTTTCCATGCCAAAATGACGTTCTATCATATGAAGTAAAGTTTTCTTGCTATGATAGCTTTTTCGTATAATGGCACTTCTATAACAGTAAACAAATGTTTCATCCCGAACCTTCCACTCGATAGTCCAACGCCCCAGCCTCAATAAGCCACTTTTAAAACTATTTCTTTCCAAGTTCTTATAAGTAAAGCTCTCTTCGAACTTGTTAAGAACCTGAAAGAATTTTTCATTGTGCCTCACAGGGCACAGGCACTCTTAATGTAGGCAAACTTTACTTTCCATTAAAGTTATTACCAAATATCTTTTACAGATTGTTGAATCCTGTTATGTATTGATCATTTCTTGGAGATACTGGTTAAGAAAAATTTATACTGGTCAAGTCTGACTTGCAAACTAAGAATTCCTTAACAAATAGTTCCGTCTGGACATCATCACAACAGAACCCACGTTCAACAAGGATTGCGGGGCAAGCGTAGTAAGACACAGCAGCGTCGGCCTAGAGCAGGAGAAGGAACAGTTTAGTCAGTAAGAGTATGACCCTCTCTCTCGCATCACCCTGGGTGAGATTTCATGATTTTCTCCCAACAAAAAACATGTTTGTTTCAGAAATAAAACACACAACACTCTGTATCAACTATTATTAACACCCTGCCACCACTGCCTTAAACTAAGACGATGGACAGGTTAGAAATCACAATATGAAATTTATGTAATAGGTGGCGCTGATCACTTACTTTCAGGTGATCTACATGCACCTATGACATAAAAAAAGGTTCGCCTATATAATAAGAGCACTGCTATCTGTATATATCTATAGTAGTCTCAATATTAGTAATTCATTATCATCACCATCGGAAAGAATCTGGCTCTACTCTCCTAGCTTCCTATGTATAATTTATTGATCATAATTGCTATATCTTTCTTTCCTTTTTTATAGTTAGTGATGGCATAATATTATAAATGCAAAAGTTACTCTGTCTGTCTGTCTTTTCTTCACGCCTAAACTACTGAACCGATTTCTGTGATATTTAGTACAGACATGGTTTGGAACTCCAGAAAGGACATAGGATAGTTTTTATACCAAAAATCTGCAGGAAGTCACTATTCCAAAAGCTAGTCTAACATAAATCAGAAATAAACCCAAATAAAAAACAACTCAATTGTATTCACAGTAAGTATATATTGCAAGAAATTAACATTAAGTACATCACATATCTAGGCGTAACGTTGGGCATTAGCATATAAGGATCAGACTCAGTAGTAACCGTAGCCGTAATTGTACGGGGAAGCTCCGTAAGTTCCATAGGATCCGTAGCTCAGGGGGTTAGAATACCCGGAGTAACCGGAATACCCGTAGTAGCCTGGGTAACCGGACGCGTAGCTGCCATAACCGGAGTAGAACTGAGGTCTCGCAAGAGCAACAGCCAGAACGGCGAACAAGATCAACTGAAAATGTACAGGATTGATCATTAAAAACTTATTATAAGGATGTTAACATATATCACAAAGTACACCAAACAATGTAAACGAATATTTTTTTGTTATTATAATTTATAAGTAACGTGCATTGGAAAATGAAAATACTATACATATATGTATTGCCATCCAGTATTCAACTAAAGCTACCAGTGATATTTTTATTAGCTTTACCGAACTTTCAGATTGTTTTCTGTGTCGTGGGATGCGTTTGCAGCCTCACATGCATACCTATTCAGACCCAAAACAATAGATTGTGGATCACACAAACAGTTGTAATACTAATGTAATGTCAAGTCGATTCTTCTGGTTTAGTCTCTTCGTAACTGAATTTAACTAAAAATCTACATAAGTTACTTTTTTAACCTTTTACATTCATGACTCTAAAGACATTTAAATGCTTTTCACCGTAATAAAATTTACCTTTAGAACGATTAAATTTATCTATTTATCTTCAGAGAAGACCACAACCACTCGTTTAAGCACATTCACTAATACAATAATGACTTAAATAGTGACCCTAGCAAGGAAACTAGGGAAGTCAACGTCCTGATATATCATGGTCCTGATGCTTATAATAGCTGTTTAGCTAGTTTGGCAGTAAAACAAAGCGTCTAATCTATAAAGTTGGCCAAATTCAGAGACCCTTGTTTAGTTGCAATAATAGTAATACGGTAGAACTATTTAAACGGGCATTTAGAAATCTTTTTTTTTTAGGGGAGCTTATTATTTTAGGAAAATTGCTGATAGTTATTTTTTATTCGAGTAGTTCTAAAGCTTTTATTTTATTTAAACTAGGGACTGATACGAAATTTTTCTACTATTTAATGGGTGTAATTATACATATAGGTCATCCTCTTTAATCACTCTATTTGTTAAAAAACTGAATCAAAGTGGGTTTAAAGGTTTAGGCGTACATAGGGATATAGGAATAGAGAAAGCTTCTTTGTTTTATAATATGTAGAGATGATTTAAATTTTTATTCCTAACAAATTTTGCATTGGCTTACATACAATAAAAATAATTAAGATTTTGAGATTTGTTTATAGACCAATTGTCGTCGACAGAGGGCACTGATTTTGTTTTTATTCGTCCATTATTATTTTTATAGGAACCTTCTACATGCGATATTGCAAAAATCTTAGTTTTTTCTTGTCTTAATTCCATTCCACTTTTTATATTATATTTTAAACTGGTACAGCTAGTTTATTGTAGTTACACACATATACCTACTCGTACATACAAATCAATATTATTAATAAGTATCAAATGACAGAAGTTTGGCGTCCATAACACAATATTTGATCCACTGGTGACATAACACTTACATAAATGACAACACAAACGATAATTTTGTCAATGGAAATGAAAATGAATCACAAAGTTCATAATCTGTAACATAATAAGGCTGATTATTGAATGAAAGCAGTTTCCATAACAAATTGTTTGAATTAGAAGAAATCTTCCATTGACGTCGTACGTATTCTCCTAGGTCCTTCTTAATTCCCTAACAAAATTGACTAATACTATTCTAGTCTGAAATTATTAAGATGAACGTCCTTATCACAGTTTCTTAATAAATGTTATAAATAGAAAATAAACGCCAGTAACTTTAATAGGTTCTGACTTGTAAGAAGAAGCTAATACGACCCCTTGACTTGACTTTTTGCGTGAACTGGTGGTCTGCTAGATTCTTGATAGCGAAGTCTTGTTCGAAACTTCGTTGACGTCGAATCAGAATAGATGCTATGTATTAACAACAATGACTACTGCTTTGCTACCACCGGCCATTATTCCAAACTCCACATTAGGATTAAATACCGGAATCAAAAACCCTAAAAAAGTTTGGTCAAGGTTGACTAAAGAGTCAACCCGGAAGTTGAGTTTAAACTCAACGGTCACATGAGTAAGAGAATTGACAAGACATTTACTATAACCACAATATACATATATAAGTCAAAGTAACCAACTCACCAGTTTGGCAAACATTTTGTTATATTATGAGGTCCCGGTGACTCCTGTGTTAAGTAAAACTCGTACTGTTCTCATTGTTACTCCTCCCTCAACATTTATAGGTGGCTCATGTCCTTGGACACTAAAACAATAACGGAAACCTATACTCACAAATGATTCTGTTGGGAATCAATGTAAATTATGAGCACAGACAAACGTACAAAGGACGCGCTCTACATCACCAAGTAGGCTCTTTGTTTATACAAAAGCTACCACACAGAAACTTAAAAGAATAAATTATGGGTCGTTACATTTTTATGGCCTTTATAACATACTAGGCACTGGCCAGTCACAACTTAAATTTCTGTTAAGGTATGAGGCAATAATAGTGGCTAAGTTTAAGGTTGTGTGTTAAAATCATCCTGGTATGGTCGGAGTACCTATCAGATGGAACAATGTGTAACCCCGAACACACAAAAGTAGACATGAGTTGAAAAATGAATGAAAAATTATTCGTGTTATAACAACAGCAAGCCCTCCAAATTATTCATTATCATATCACTACATGAGTATTTTCATCATAATACGTACCTACATGGCACGAACAATCACGAAGACCAAAATACATATATAGTATTCTTTTATATCGTAAAAGCTAACAGATCACCCGATGCAATTGGCGCCTGACATCATTTTTGTGAGGGAAAAATCAGCCACTAAATTATCCAACCCTAGGTGGAGCAACAGGATATGTCAGACTCTTACTAACTAAAAACTACCCCGTTCTTAGGCGTGTTGTTCTGATGGGATGGTGAATGAATCACTTTGAAGCAAACTCGTGCCTGGTTTTGGTGCGGCAGCGGACTATACTGCACGCCGTCTATAGACAAGAGAAAACAGCTTCCCAGTGCCTGTTTCTCTGCCCCGTGGACTGGACTAAGGCCGGACGTGAAAGGATGCAGCCGCCGATTGCTTCACTGAAGACACAGCAGTGCTGTGCTCAAGCAGGGCACACCGCTAACGTACGTTCCAAGATGTCCTCTGCCCGCATGTACACCTACAAATTCAACGGAGTTGCGATTCTGACTTTTTATACTGTTACAGATTTGAGCATTGGGGATTTGGGGATTGTGGAGGGCGGAAAGTATTGTGTGTCTACTACCTCACTCGTCACCATGCAAAACACTACGTTAAATAAAGAGGTTATTATATTTTTGTGAAAACCGAACAGACGCAAACCGATTACCTTATGGTAAGCTAACAGAACTGCCTACGGATATCAGAAATAACTGAAAATTGACACAAAACTACTATTTATATATACTGAAAAAACTAGTTTTAAGTGTAAATAAACCCCAATATGATAGGTGGTCCACTGTTACCCCATGGTCTACTGTTGAGCATCATTCCATGTTACCAAGAATTTGAAAAGTTGAAAAAGGAATACTCCTCTACTCGGAAATGCAATCCAATATATCGTACGTGCTAGTCTCGTTTCCGACCCCTCGATCATTTACGGGTCATAGAACATTAAAGGACGAAGTATGAATTAGGCCTATCTCATACTTCAGTCCTCACAAAAGCCAGTATATTTCTAAAGAGCTATTCGTTAAAAGTTACATACAAATGAACAATACAGTTTCCTTAGAAGGCGAGTCAGGATGTGTTCGCTACAAATCTCGAAGATCATCGACCTTACCAAGCCAGCTTTGCACTGACAGATTGTCAACCAAACAAAATAGATCATGTTCTGTAAAGATCAAGGCCAATATTTTGTTACACGTCGTAATAATGTGTTATTGTTATGAAGTTTCACTGCCTCTTTGACTGAATAGGCTCGATAACTAAGCTGTTCAATTTCCAGAACGGAAAAGTATTATTGTACGACAGCACAATACAACAATTAAACGGAATTTAAAACCTAACATAGGTATTAGAGGAAAGTGGATTGAAGGCAAGTAGATATGTAATACAATAAAAAAAGTTGAATTAATAGCTAATCAAATTCAATACTTTTTACATACTTAATATTTTTGAATCGAATGGTTTGACGACATTAAAATTGTTTTTGAAATTGTACTCGTAATAACTGTAAAAATTTAAAAGTTATTAATTTTTATTCAAAAATCGAAATAATTTATTTTACACTATAGAAACTACCCAACTAATTTAGTCCTAATTGTCTTATTACAAACAAGATCAAACTTAATTTAACCAATTAATTGCGTAATACTCGATTCGAAAATATCTACATAATTATATCTTTGAAGTATATTGTATAGTTACATTACAACATGATTACGTTATTTAGCATAATCTAATACTTAAAATGTTTACAGACAGAAAATTATAATTTTACAACTTAAAGAAAAGAGGCTAAACTTGAAAAAGTTTTTATTTCAAGAGCAATTAAACTTTACATGACCCTTAAACTTCAAGACAAGACGAAACTTAGTCGATGCTATTGAAAGAAGAGAGATTAAGAGCAATCTGATGACGTCATTTTTCTATTATCTATATAGTTTTTGAAAATGGAACCCATTTACTCTGTTTAAACTTACTTGATATATAATATAATAATATTATTAAGTTTTGATTGATAGTTGCAGTTTAATGGTCGGTCAAGTTAATATTGATAATGTTCCAAAAATTACATAACCTTATATTATGCATTCAAACATCGCAAAAACTTCAGTGCAATCGATTTCGTACCATATTCTTTACACCATATGACTTTCAAAGTGCATTCCCCTTTTTGATATAGAATTTAAGTTTGTAATAGCTATACTATTAAGTTTAGTAATATGTTATCTTCGCTTATGTAATATTAATATTTAAATTTGCAAACTATTATGGCTAAAAAGCCTAAGTTTTAGAGGTCATTCAAAAGAAATAAGTTTAATTATCTGAAAAATAGAAATACAAGTTTTTACATAACAGGTCACTTTAAGGTACCTAAATAAGTTTTACTTAAAACTAAGACAAAAACAAATGTTTGTGTTGTAAACACTTTAATTCACTGATTTATACTATATTTATTCACATACCTACTTCTGAAAAAAAAAACCAAGAAAATGAAATACTAGCTCACGCAAAAAACAAGAACTCAGAGCACACAATCCCATCCGGAATTGCAGGTCAAGCACAATAATGAATGGAATTTAAAAGGAACTGGGTAGTTTTTAGTCGGTAAGAGTCTCCCTCTAGTCCCATCCGAAACAGAAGTCATATGATGATTTTTTCCCTTAAACCAAACACACAGTCCCGTTCCCGTTTATTCCACAAAATTTATAGAAAAGATGTGATTGTAATTTTCATTTAAGATCCATCTAGATTAGCTTAACATTTAAATAAAGAATTTGAATTCGAAAGCTGTCGATTTTGCAAATTAGAAAAAAGTATATGGGTTCTTAAGCACATAGTTACTATAGACTGGAATAAATAGTTATTTAATTATAGAATATGGTGGTATTGCAATTTATTTGGATACCTACATCACTATAAAACTAAAATATCTTTATTGTCAGGCATCGAGGCTCATAGGGCTCTTACAATTACATCAATATAAACAAGAAATGGACAATTAGAACAACTATGCTAACAAATGCATATTGCTAACAAGCATTGCTGTCTTGCTACCTGTATTTGTGGGCAGAGTTAGAACCTAAACAATGTATGCATGTGTGTGTGTATGTGTATGTATCTGATCTCATACGCACGAGTAAGCTGTAATGATTGTTAGTTGTTAATTTATGTGCATAAACTTGGTAGAAACTTGTCTTGATACATAAGTTTAGTTAAGAAAAATGTTATCAATACAGGTATGAATAAATGTATATTTATAAAACTGTGGTTATTTTATAAATTTACAACGCTCAGATTTCGATACCATTTTTATAGGAACTACCGGCAAACGAGTAGATGGATTACCTTAACTAAAATTCGCGGGTTACTCACGTGTGAATGTTGAGAAAAGCTCTACTAGTTTCGAACCACAGAGGGGTTCTTCCTCATGATGGATTACCTAGTGGTTAATTGTGCCGAAGTATGGCTCTCCCACTTTCAACCTACAGGTTTCTTCAATTGGGGTGGATGATTACTAAAAGAGGTTTTCCCAAATTCTGACAACGGAAACTTCCGCACATATAAATTCACCAAAAATATGTGATGCTGAGTCAAAAATAAATGGGAGTTAGAAAGAAAATATTAAAACTATAGTTGAACCTTAAGCATGGTAATGACTACCAAAGAAATATTTTTGCTTGGGATATCTTTACTTGTAGTTTCTATTAGGTCAAACTACACCTGGGCAACATCTGACAATAGCAAGCAACGCATATACATTACCGATTTAGCATAACAATTATGTAATATGCGCATTATATAACAGGTTTTAATAACAAAGGCAAAGCTATAAAGGTATTTATCATCATTATATTTTGTAGTAAATATAACAATAGTACTATAATATCATCAATACTTAGCCTAATCACAATTTACTAGTAAAATTTCAACTTCTGAACATTAGCTGTAACTTCAGAAATAACATCAAAGGTACATCCAAATTTATAATTTTAATTTTAGCTCAAAAAAAAAACATAAAACACGTCGTAAGGCTGCCTCTCGTACATAAGAGTTCGGGTTCGGAACCTGGCCAGTACCGATGTGACTTATACCAAGTTATACATATGTCCTTTTTATGATCATTTAGACACCACTGACATACGGTGAAGGAAAACATCGTGGGGAAACAAGGTGGGTAAACGTGCTTATTAATTCTTCGTGTAAGAAGAAGAAGCCTTTGTTCAGCAGTGGGCACTTATATATCAACATAATGATGATATTTATCTCTCTACCCGACCAGGGGATCACACTCGAAACTTTGTGATTGCTATTCTATAATATAAAAATGAATGGCAAAATGTGTTGGTAAGCGCATAACTAAAAACGCCTGGACTAATTTTGCCAAATTCTTTTATTTTGTATTTAATTTTGTCAGAAGAAGGTTCTTATATAAGACAATATTAGAAAAGTAGGGGAGAATATTGGGGAAAAGGGACCCTTTGCGACCTGGACCTGCGTGAAGCAGGGGTGGGCCGCTAGTTATTCATACAAAGAGGAATTATACTACAAAAACTTCATATTATTTTCACGCGTTCGTCAGAGCTTTATGTTTGCAAACAAATGTATGAAATATTATGTCCTGTTACAAAATTTGATTACACGGTTGAGGGTTGTCAAAAATTGGGCCAAAGTTTTATAAAATTTTAATAAGAATTATTCAAGGCTTCAAGAAAACACCATCGATCATCACGCCAAATATGATGAATCAGATGTTCATCAGACAAAACAAACTTTTTAAAAAATCGCTACAATTCCCTTAATTGGGTATCACAGAAGCCTTCGTAAATCGTAACACAACAACATAATAATATAATGATAATTATCTAAGTAAATGTATTTATTTACACAAAAATTTATCATGATATATTGTAGTATGTAATCTATTTATGTATATATGAAAGTCCCTAAATAGATTCCGTGACATAATCACAAATAACTGCACTATTCAATATTAAACCAAATTGTATTCCAAACACCGTTAGGAGTTCGTTGTTTTTATTATTGTATTCCATAAAGTAGAGAATAGGATTCATTTCCCGATGTGGTATTTTACTTTACTAACAACATTTGATGTGAAAACTTGGGCACGTCCACGCTAAATATTGCATTAAGTAATATGTGATATAATGGTGCGGTATACCTATGTATAAAATAATCCCATCAACAGTCAAGTGACACATTTTAATATCATTAATAACTCGTGGACAGTGGTACACAAAATATCAGGTGTTAGGAAGTACCCAAAATGTGACCTTGAACTTTAAATACAATGGTCTGCGCACTTAATGTGAGGACGTAACAAGCTTAGGAGTCCATTGTGACCAGCTGATGTCATAAGGACAGTATTGTTCTGCAAACATGAGCAATGTGAAGGAGGCTTTATTTGGATGTGTCAAATTGATATCACCATACTTATGTTGTACTTGCCTAGTTATATAATTGTTATTGTTGTTTTTGTGTTATGGTGGTATATCGATTTATGTAAATAGATTACAGGGCTAAACGAAACAAATAGGCTTTTAAATTAGTTAAGTACCATTTTTTTATATAAATAGTACCTAGATACATATAGTAAGTTTTACTGCACGGTTGGTCC